GGATTATTATTTATTTGACAACAAACTTCACTACATTATTATTGCAAAGAGCTATTGCTAAAGCAAAGAGGGAAGCTGAAAAAAAAGGCTATTAGTTGCAGGAGTTGAAAATGTGCAGACGAAAGAAGAGGAAACTCAAAATGGAAACGTTGAAAATGATACCAAAGATATCCAATTGACAGAAAGCAAGGATGCATAATTTGATTTAGATTTGTTTGAATAAATCAATTTCTGAATCCAATGGGTGTTTAAATGACTCATTCGTATCATTTCTTGTTCCATTAATCGAAACTTGTTTTGGATCTTGATAATCTGATATTAATTGTCCAGTTTCAATATCAAATTCTAGTTTGGTATTGGAAAAGAAACCTTCCAGACATGATCCACTCTCCACAATGATTGGTGTGAAGAGTTTACACTGTGATTGACAATAGTTTCGTTTAGAATTATTTTGTATTGATCTTTTCAAATGAGAAACCATTCGATGGTTGTATACTGATTTGCAAACCGTTCGAATCATCTTGATCTATTTTTTTTTGATTAGTATCTGCCAATATTACAAATTATCAAAAAAGACAATTTCCATCTTTAGAAAATACGAAAAAATCTTTTATTGATGTTATCCAATAAAAAAAATCAAATTATAAATTCATTCAAATAAAATTTATATTCCTTTTTTTTGTAAAAATCCAAATATTTAATAATTTCGAAAATATTTTCAATCATTTTGTGGAATATTGAAAAAAGTAAAATATTAAAAAAATGAAGAAATTTATTCTCAACCCAATCACTTTCAATTGCGGAATTTTTTCCAAGAAGCAACAAGTCATTGTTGATGCATCATCAGCTTCGAAGTTACTTGGTCAACAAGTGAATAAGTTCTCATCTTCACTAATTAATTCCTATTTACGAGGTTCATCATCATCAACAACAATTCTTACAATAATAATAAGAAAACATCTTTTTCATCAAGATCTACTTCATCAAGAAGGAATACAACAACAGGAAGATCATCCTCTCCTTCATCGTCCTCTTCGTCATCGTCATCTTCAACATCAGTCAGAAGAGATTATAAACCACTCACCCTTTTGGAACCACCAGTTGCTTTATCACACTCCGAAGAAGAATCAAATGATTTTATTCATCATAGGGAGGAAGAGAATAAGAATCAACACTTTTTCAGTTTCCACTTGGAACCAGAGTTGGTGAGAGGATTACAAGAAAATAATATTACCACACCATCAAGTATTCAAGAATTGGCAATTGCACAATTATTACATAGAAGAAATAGAAAGAAAAACTTTTGTATTGGCGCACAAACTGGTACTGGAAAGACTCTTTCTTACTTGTTACCACTTTTGAAAAAGATGAAACATTTGGAAAGTGTTAAAGGAATGGAAACTCAAATTAAGAAACCAAAATTTTTGATTGTTGCACCAACAAGAGAATTGGCAACACAAATTCACAAAACTGCCAAATATTTGAGTCACTATATGAAATTTAGAGCTGTTTTATTGAGAAGTGACATGTCAAAAGCGAGGATGAAGAGAGATTTGAGTTCAAAATGTGATCTTGTAGTTACCACTCCACAAATTTTCTCCAAAATGCATGGTGATGGTCATGTTTACTTTTCTGATATTAGATTTGTAGTTTTGGATGAGGCAGATACTCTGTGTGCTAAGGACTTTTTACCAGACCTCGAAAAGATTGTCGTTCCATGTATTGAAAGAGGAAAATATGTGAAAGAGTTTGTCCAATTTGGATTTGTATTTGCTACTTACAATGCAAATGTTGAACGATTTTTGAAACACTATTTTGGAGAATCAGAAGCTGCATCACTTGCTGAAAGTGTCACTGCTTCAGATGAGACAACTGAACGAGTTGAAGACTCAAAGATACTCTATTTAATTGATAAGGATATGCACAAGACTCAATCACATATCAAGCAAAGATTTATAACTCTTAATGCTAATAATCAAGACAAGTTGAAGTATTTAGTGGAAAGAGTATTAAAGATCAGAACCAAATTACCAACCAAACAAAAAACCGAAGAAGATTCCTCTGCAACACCATCCATCAAAAATCAAGCACTATTAGAAAGTCTTTCAGAGCTTGATGATAATGATACATATTTTACAAACAAGGTCCAAATTGTTAACTTTGGTCCAAAGATAACAAGCAACACGGAAAAAGACAATACCAATAGATCAGCCCCTGAAAGAGTACTCATTTTCTGTAATACTGTGAAGAGTTGTAGAGCAGTCCATCACTCCATTACAGAAGCAGGACTTGAAGCAGCTTGTTTCCATGGTGAAATGATGGCTCCAAAACAAGCTGAGGAATTTGATGCTTTCAGTACAGGTAGAGTAAGAGTTATGGTTACCACTGATATTGCAGCTAGAGGATTAGACTTGGTATCTCCAGTTGACCATGTAGTTCTCTTTGATTTCCCTCTTAATTCTATTGACTATATGCATAGAGTGGGAAGAACAGGAAGAATGGGCGCTGACGGAAGAGTAACTTGCTTGCTCAATAGAAAGATGGAAACTGAATTGGCAAAGGCAATTCAATATGCCATGGTAACCAATCAACCACTCACAACCATTAATGTGGAGAATGCCTCAGAAAATCTTGAAAGAATGAAGGGTGAACAAGCAAGAAAACGACAATTGAGAAGAAATTCCTACGAGAAGAGATTTAGAAATTCTAGAAGTGATAATAACAATTATTACCAAAAGGGTCCAATCAGTATTAACAATCCAAATAGAATGTCCAAGCTCTCTAATAAAAAGAATTACTAAGCCAATAAAAATATTAAGCAATCTAATGTTTTCCGAATGGTTGTGATTCTTAATACTGATACAGTTGTTGAGACTTCACACTTCCTTAACCATCAAACCGTCAATTACGGACTCTATTAAGGAAACAACATTCCCGCTAAAAGAACTTGTGCAACGCGTGTTTGCATTAGAAAGAAGGGTCTCCCGATTTTCCTTAGCACAACGGTGGTTTTATTTTATTACCCATCAAGGCCTGTCTTACGTGATGTTCAAATGCTGTTGTGGTGGTTGAAAATTAATCAAAAAGAAAAACTCTTATTTTTTCTTCACCAATATTATGCCCCCACACAATAGTAGCCGAAGAGATAGTATTACATCGAATCGGGGCTCGCCAATGAGGCCAACCGTCTCCCTCTCCCCTCGACTCTCAATACCATCAGCACATACTATTCAAATTCCCTATGATCCAAATGAAACTTATAATGTTGTACATATACCGACTCAAATAGCCCTCTCTCCTCGTTCTGATCATTCTTTAAGAAATTCGTTACACGCCTCTACACTTCGTGCCTCAATGAATAATAATAATAATACACTTCGATCATCAATGAATGGAACCAATACGCTGAGAACATCAATGCAAGGAGGAAATACAATGCTATCTCGATCGATGGATCTACAACAACAACAACCAATTAGCTATGTTAGTAGCAATAACAATGTTATTCTAACTTCCAGAATGGACACAAATACATTTAGAAGAAATTCTGGAACCTCCGAAGATGAAGTTATCTATGTAGATAAACCTCTCGTAATGACAACAACAACCACCACCACCAATACTCCGTCCTTAATTCTCTCACCAAATTCTGTTAGTGTTGGAAATGTAAGCGATTTTTCTGGAGAAAGACAAGTAAGGAGAGTTACTTTCGATCAAATGGCCCAGCAACAACAGCAGGTGCAACTCAGTGGACCAATGAGACCAAATCATAGATTAGACAGGACTAACAATACAGCAAGTACATTGAACATGCGTATTAGAGGTCTTGAAGCTGACTATATGGAAGACGTTAGAAGAAGAAACAGAGAAGTCTATGGAAATCAATATCAAATTTGGAGAAATTATAAGGAAAAAACAAAATCAACAATGAATGTTCATGATGCTATGAAATCAAAGAGCAATAGTGTCAAGAACTTTCTTCACATTAATAATCACAGAATGGATCCAATGACAATCCAAGAATTGAGAGACCAAGGGTACATTGTAAAGATGACTCCGAAAGGGCAACCATACATTGTAAGAGATAAAGCCCTGACAGCTGTTGTTTCCAATAACAATATTCAACCTGTAAAAGAAGAGAAGGAAGAGAAAAAGCTTAGTTTTTTCTGTAGATGGTCAGCCATCGAAGATGCCTATGGATTGGGTGTAAAACTCTATTTTGATTTTGCTAGATTGATGATTGTGTTGAATGCCTTTTTGTTTTGCATTCAACTCTTTAATATCATCGTCCACCTTGTAGTTGATTATCAAGATATTGCAAATAGCTTTTCTTCCTTTGACCTGTCCATCATTGACCAATTGTATGCCTCTACGTATAGTAGAAGTTTGTATTGGGTGTGGATTTCAACGAATGCTCTATGTATCGTAATTAGTCTAGCGTTTGGGCCATTGTACTGGTGGATAATTCACACGTACTATGAAAAGAGAGACCTGTATGATTGTGAAGAGAATTTCTTGGATTCTGAATCTGATAAAATTAAGGAGAATCAAAAAATAAGACTTTTAGAATACTTGTTCAGAATGATATTGAGCTATTCAGTTTTCGCAATCTTTATGATGATTTCTTTCAGCGTTACAATGGGCTTTACAATTTTACAAAATGTTAATGCGATGTACGAATTGGCAGATTCAACCTTCTCTGCTAATGGTAACATTCTGACGGCAATCTCAATTGGTATTTCTGTTGTTATTTCTGTAATGTCTTTTATTTGGAAGAAGATTTGTGCTTATCTCACTAATTTTGGTATGTTGGTTAATTACTTTATTGATTCTAATATCTACTTTTCAGAGAGACACAAAACATGGTCATCCTACAGAAAACATAATACTTTCAAATTCTTATTCTTTAAACTTTTCAGTGTGTTTGTCATGGGTTTCACCAAGGGGTTTTTTGCCACTCCTTGTGTGATTAAGGTAATGGGCAATCAGTACATGATTCAGATGTTTATTGACTTTTCTATGGCATTTTTAGTTGAATTGGTATTCCCATTAATTGCTCGAAAAGTTAAGGAATTGGTTAAAAAAGATGACACCCCAGTTCCAAAACCAGACTTTGATGTTTCAGAAGAGTACTTGGAACTAATCTATCGTCAATATTTAGTCTACAATGGATTTGTGAGCTTCCCACTGATCACTCTTATTGGACTCGTTGCCTCTATATTTGAAGTTTACTTGGACAAGTTTAGATTACTTAAAATTGCTGCCAAACCTCCACTTACAACTGGTTCTGTAAAGTCTGTCGTTACATTCTTTGCAATTCTAGCAGCTATTCTGCCAATCTTTAACTGGGCTGGAGGAAATCTGTATATTCTTTCTGGATATTATTGGTGTAATGCACCATCAGATATTGAATGCTCAGCATGTACTATAACAGATAATGGAAGATTCCCTAACTTGATTAAGGCCATGTTCGAAAGTACATAAATTTTCCATTTTACTGTAAATTGTTAACTCACGAGGTTTTTATAATTAATTGACTTAAAAAACGAGTTCAAATTCAATACCAATACCGTGAGCACTTGAAGGAAGATACAATGAAAAAATAAATGGTCCACCTCTTGATTGTGGAACACTCAAAATGGAAATATCAGATTTTTTACCTCTTACAACATAGTCTGCATTGTTTGGATTAGGATAGTATTCATTGGAAGCTGATGAGTAGAGTAATTGATAGGAAGGGATTGAATCCGCATTCAAGAGACGGAACTTGACAAGCACTCTAGTTCCAACAGCAATTAAATCCTTAGTGAAAATTATTTGATTTTCTTGGTAAATGTAGTCAACCTGACTGATTTTAAACTTGTTGGACGAAATCTTATAGGAAGTAGTGTAAAATGGGAAGATTTTAGGAACATATTTTGCTTGAGGAAGGTAATCCAAAGCAAAAAAGTAATAAACAGTAATATCATTGAAATCCATTTTTGGATCAAAAATTGAAGCATTTGAACCAATTCCAAAATATTGAAAATTAAAAGAGGATGGATTTCCAGTTTCCTTTGATCCATAAATATTCAATCCACCAAATTCTTGATTAACTGTAACAAATGTAATTTGTAAAGTATTATTGGTTGGTTGACCATTTCCATACACTGTAAGGAAATAATTTCCTCCATCACTTCCAACAGTAAATGGAACAGTTGTATTATCATAGAAAATTTCAATGGCACTTGCTGGAGTATCAGGCAACACACATGCAGTATGATCTCTATTGGCCCTCTTACTTGGACAGAGTGTACAACTTATCTGTCCAGGTTCAGTTGTTGCATAACCTTCAAAACATTGATACATTCTCGAATCACCTGGACCTATTTACATATTGTTTCACACACATTTCACACACACATTTCAAACACCATTCACACATTCAAATTTTAATGAAAATTACTTACAATAATAGCCAACACTGCACTCAACACAAGGTTTATAAATTTCATAGTAGTAACCTGGTGGACATTTACCAGCCAAACACAAACATGTTAGGGAGAGTAATGCAAAGAGAAGAGAGAGGAGTTTGTGCATTTTTTTTCAGTTCAAGTGGAAATTGCATAGGTTTTCGTGTGGATGTGAAAAAAGATTGCCAGTAGCGGGGTTACTGGGAAGTATTCATCCTTTTCTAAAATGGGAAGTTTGTTTTGTAATTTTTTAGTTGCAGCAGAATACAAACATTTGAAATTTTATGGAGTGTATGAAATGTTCATTCACAGTATTGATGTTTAAATAATCACGAACAGTAATGTTAATTAATTGATGAAACTTGTGTTATTCGAAATATTGTAAAGAAAAATTGGGTTGACTAGAAACATACAAAAATTTTGAAATGTATCTGCTCGCACCGATTTGGAATTTAATAATCTTGTTAACTATTTTATTGCCGAAAAGGGAATTTCATTTTCGCATCCACAATTTCATGACTTTCATTATCCTAAACTCCAAAAAAAAAATGTCAACTTTAAACATACAATCTCTCTTCTCATCCTCTGCAATAATCAACGATAATGGCTATACGAATGTTACTCTCGATCAATTCAGACCCATCTGGTCGAGTAGTCTCGTACTTTCGAATACAATTCTCTTCCTCTTTCTCTTTACCATTTACATGTTCATTCTCATTGGTTTCATTTATAAAGTGACGAGAAAATTGAAACTCAAAAGGAATCAAAAGATTCTCTTCATCATGACTGGAATTTATGTCACTGTTCAAATCATGAGTTTGTTAATTAGAGTTGTGAATGAAAGTTTACAATTGACTGTTCGAACCAGAGCTGAAAATGGAGGACTCATTGAATGGGAATTATTTGTTACAATGCAGGTATTTGCAGGTCTGAATACCTTTTCCATGTTGAGTAATTTTTTGACCTTGTTTTCCATTGTAATTTTTGTGCAAAATATGTTGTAAGTGTTTATTGTAAAGTTTCAATATTCCAATTATGGAAATATTTAATTTAGTTGGAGTACTGCTACCTTGATGAGAGCCATTTCAAAACAAACATCCAAAATTATTAGAATGATCATGACCATTGTGGGAACTGTTTTTGTAATTGTGGCCGTTGTCATTATTTTACTTATTGGAATAATTGCTGGAATTAGAAGATTCGACTATATTCCAAAGGAATATGTTGCTGCCATTCAAGTGACTTCATTTGTAGTGGGTGGAATTGTTCTATTATTTGTTGGTGGAATGTTAATTGCTTCTGGAATAATTGTCATTCGAACCATTCAGAAAACCTCAAAGAATGTGGTGACTGCAAATGTTTCGAATAATACAAATTCAGAATCGTTTGCTCAGAAATCTGAAAGTAATATTGAAAGTCAAACTTCTCACAGTTCCAATAATACGAGACAATCATTTGATAAGGTTTCGTTTGAGAAGAGAGTTCAATCACCTTTCAAAATAACCTTTGGATTATTGATTGGTTTATTAATGTGCATTTCATTACAATTAATTGCCATTGCCATTGCTTCTGGAGCCACAGAATTGGCAAACTATTCAGTCATTTGGCAATTCTTGAACTGTACAGGTGTTTTAACATTTGGAATTCTAATTCTCTTTCTCTTCTTTCCCTTATTTAGAGATATGGAAATTGCAATGCAAGAAATTGAAAAGAGAAAGGAGGCCCTCTCTCAAAAGAAACTCCGTTCCAATCATTTGCATGTTCCATCAACAACGAGGAATCATCTCTCAGATCTGAGTGGGAGTGGTGATAATTTCCTCTCCTTACCATCTAGCTCAGGAGGTGATATGAGTCCAACAAGTCCTTCGGCTATTTCATTTTCCTCTGAGGTAATGGCCATCTCTGATGATTCCAAATTGTATCAATAAACTAATTGTTGTGTTAGAAGTGCAAGTAACCCCAATTGACTATGATTATAATCTTGTTCAGTAAATCCAAAATGTAACAGATTATAAACTAATCTTGGAGTAGCATTTCATAACAGTCCCACAACCATTACCTTTCATTCATATTCCTTTATCTTGTTGATCATGCATGTGAAATCAAATATCAAATAATACAACAAAAAAAGAAAATGCAAATATTCGTCAAGACATGCACTGGTAAAATAATCCCAGTTGATTGTGAAGCCAATGACACGATCAAAAACTTGCAAAACAAGATTTTTCAAAAGGAGGGAACTGTTCCAGGTTTTCAGGTTTACATTTTCGGTGGAAAACAATTGCGTGATGAGGAAAAATCATTGGTAGAGTATAATGTTAAGAAGGATGATACGTTGTTCTTGGTTTTGAGGTTGAGAGAAAAGAAGGATGATGAAGAGGTTGAGAGTAAAGAAAGTAATGACGAGGATTAGTCAATTAATAGTCTAATCCAGGTGTTTGATGATGAAAATAATGTAAATAATTAACATGAGAGATTAAAGAATATTCTACAAACCATCTTTTCAACATCTTTGATAAATTGTCATAGGATCAGATGTGATTCTGTTAAATTGCAATATTGATATCAATAAATCAGTCGAAATTTACCTAATGAAGAACAAACTTGATTTGACTTGCAATTTTTATGGGAATTGGCAAAGTTTGTGTTTGAAAACAAAAAATCAAACAAAAAAAATAACTCAATGTCTTCAGATAAAGAAGGTTTGTTTCGTCAATTATTATTCGAATAACTGATCAAGGAAGAAATCATCAGTTTGCTTCGTGAAATTCTTTCTGCTCAAAAAGAAGGAAATGAATTACAACAGCAAGTTTTAAAAGCATTGAAAAGCACCAACAGTGAAAAACGAAAGGTTTCGTCTGAGGCCAGCTCTTCTGAACCAGAGAAAAAGAAGACCAAGAAAAGTGAAACTTGTTCAGATGATCATAATGAAGAATTATGCATAATTTATGAAGGAAGTACCAAGAGCAAAATACTTGTCAGAAAGGAATTATTGAGAGGACCAGTTTTGAAAGCTGCCATTTCCAATAATTTCAAAGAAGAATCAAGTTTCGTCTTGCCAAGTGATGAACTAAAACTTTCGAATATTCCCAAATCAATGAAACAATTGAAAAAATTCTTTCACAGAGAGCAGCTTGACAAGTGTAATGAAGTATTGAAAAGGGACTTGACACGTTTGGCTGAATATCTTGTCCTGCCAGAACTCAAACTTGAATTATTGAAACTCCAAATATGTGAATTTCCCTCTCCAACAAGTAAGAAAATTCATTTAGTGTCCAAAGTTGCTGAAATTTGCAAGCCGCTCTACGAAATTCTAATCGAACTCGAAACTGAAGATATGATTCCCGTATTGAAATCATTTCACAATTTCCTATCTGAAAATAAGGCGTTCAACTTTTTTAAAACATGCACCGATATCTATCAACAGCAAGGTAATGAAAGTAATGCTGAATTGAAGAGTTTGGTTTCCATAATTTATAATGACGGCACATTGGATGGAATGATTTACAATCTATTGAAAATATGTAAGGAGCATAGGAATGAATATAAGATGGATCATGGTGAGAAGGAGAAATTTTTGAAAGATGCTATTAAGGATAGTATGTGGAAAAAGCGCATTAATGATATCTGAATAAATTCATGACAAGTTAGTTCACACAGTTGTTGATTATTTCAATAGCTTGTTAATGTTTTTACAAAAGACATCGGCGACTGTCTGTCTTGGTAAAACTCCATTCAATGCTGAACCTCCAAAACACGTTCTATATTCACATTTAGTTCCATAAAATCCAAATTTACATTGACAAGTATCTACTGATGTGCAATATCCATTTCCACTACAAACTGAAACATTATTCGAATAAGTTCCATAACAAATAGGATATTCACAATTGTTTCCAATAGAATTTGTACAATTAGAGCAAGTATTAGGCCCAGAACAAATTCCTCTTCCAGAGCAAACTGAAGAATTGAATGAGGAAATTGAATTGCAGGAAAAATTGGCACAGGTCAACCCATAATATCCTTCATCACATGTGCAAGAATCTGGTCCAGAACAATAACCACGAGAAGAGCAGACAGTTGAATCGGTAGAATTCACTCCAAAACATGTATATTCTTCTCTGGTAATAATTCCGGCAACCAAAGATCCAGCAATTCCCATATATGGTACTCCATCAAAATAATCTTTTGTCATGTAGAGAGTTGGAGCAGAAATAACTGGATTAAAACCACTTCTGTATGAAGTCTGATAATAATCATTGGAACCAGATGTGTAAACATTCCCTTTTTTGGTAATAAAGTAGTGTCTTTTTGAATACATGAATGAGTCAACCAAATACGAATCATCTGATGGAAGATTCAATTTGATTGGTGTTCCATCGAAATAGTAGGGTACTCCACTTGTTGAAACAAATACAGTAGCACTGTAAAATCCAACAAACATCTTTCTAACTTTGACATTTCCATTGATTCGAATAAAAGTTGAATATTTGGAAGTTGCACTAGGGGAAAGATACTTATTACCTCCAGTATTTAAACCAATACCGTACACATTTCCCTTATCTGTCAAGACAAAGAGTGTTTGTGTACCTCCCTTAATGTCAACAATGACTTCATTATTCGAATCAATGATTGAAGTATTCAATGCAATGAAATTTGAAATACTAGTCGGTCCAGTGACACCTAATTCATCATAGGTATTATCACCAATACCCAATAGTGTTCCATTCTGTAATAATAGATACGTATTGGAAGAGGCAGCTGTGATTAGTTTAACATTCGAATAGATTAACGTAGGAGTTGGATTACTACTTGATGAAGAGCCAAAAGAGTAATAATCTCCCTTTCCCCAAGCATAGACATCCCCATTCTCAACAAGAGCTACTGCAAACTCTCCTTTCATATCTAGGTCAATAACTTTTTTAGATGTCAATGATGTGAGTGCTTGTGTTGGAGTATTGGCAGTTACTGAAAATCCAAGACCGTTATTGCAACCTCCCCAATATTCTAATACATTGGTAGAACTATCATTCCCCAAAGCAGTCAATAAGAATGAACAAGCATTTCCTGATTTGGCAATCACAACCGAAACATTCGAATAAGAAAGTCCAAAAGTTGTTAATTTTCTAGGATATCTAATCATGTATTCATCTCCAAGTGTTAACATCCCATTATTATTACTTCCCCAAACTTTAACCTTTTCTGTTGTAGTGATTGCCATGCCATGAATTCCTGACAAGTAAACTGAGGAAGTTATCGATTGTCCCAAGTTGACCGTGTCAAAAACTGGATTACTAGCATGACCCAGATTTTTATACGAATTCAAAGAAACTCCCCATGATTTAACAGTACCATCTATTACAATGCAAATTGAAATGTATTCCTTGGCAGTGCAGTAAAGTGAATTTGTAACATTGTCAATTTTTTTAGGGACCATGATTGATGGATCAGAAGATTGAAATCACATTGCTGGTAAAGATTTCCTCCAAAACACAAAACATCTCCATTATTTGTCATTACAATGGCATGTGAAAATCCAAATGAAACTTGTGTTACTGGGTTTTGAATTAAGGTGACAGGTTGAGCTGTTTCACTAACATTTAGTGTCGAATTCCAACCCAACATTCCATTAAAATTACTTCCCCAAGTCCACAAAACTCCATTCACATCAATAGCTCCAGCAGCTGTCTTGCCAGTCTCTCCATTTCCATCCAAGAAACCAACCGAAACTGTTGTAATATTCCTCAATGATGGAATTAAATTAACACTCGTATCTGAATAGGAAGAGGAAGTTCCTCTCAATCCAGAATTATGACATCCACTACTAAAAACATGACCATAATTAGTAACTGCAAACATTGTTTCACAACCATAATATCCACCAATTGTAGCATGTACATATTTCACACCAGTTAACAATTGACCATTATCTGGATCGTTATACGAAACTGCACTAAATCGAACATTCCAAATTCCAGTACCAACTTCCAACAGTCCATAATGGTAACGAACATGACCATCACTGGACACGATCAAACATGAATACAAACAAGCCATGTGAATAATCCTATTCGAATTAGAGAAGGGATTAAAAGCTTGTCCATCTTTCGAATAGATGTAAATTAATTCTGGAGTAGACATGATATAGGGTGGTTTGATAACAGCTCCCTGTCCATTCATATTACTTCCAGAGACGAGAATTCTTTGCCCAAGAGAACTATTCGTATCACTATTGAAATATTCCAACACGTAAAACATCACCGACATGCCCGTAACTATTTGTTGCAGTTTAACAGAAGTGTTCATAGTAGTGGTGGTTGTTTCATTTCCTGTTATTAATTTCCATGATTCGGTGCCGTTGAATAGATATTTGGGTAGTAGATCATTTTCAATTGGAGTGCTAGTATCAGGTGTGATGGCTAGTGGTGAAAAACCAGAGTAGTAAATGTAGCCGAACGTGTAGATATTCTTCGAGTTGATGAAGGATGCTGTTACTTCTTGAAGTGTAACAACTGAAAGGAATACGAGAAGGAAAATGAACAATTTTTGGGTGTTCATATTCTCGTGATAATTTGTGTTTGCAGTTTTTTTCATGTTATGAAAGCTGAGTGATCGCCACAAGATATCAGTGAAACTCTGATACTTGACAAAAAAGGCTTTTTGATGAATCCATTGTTAACTTATCTACTGCTAGATTAGAAGGACAACTATTTGAACTTGTCTTTATACACTATTCATTTGATTGTTATCTGTGTTAATAAATTTACTTTATTATGGACATTGATTTGTTAATTACTGATTTACCAGCAGAGAAAATTGCAGAGGTGGCTGCTGAGGTTGCTTGAACTGTTGCCTTACCAACCTTTGCAGAACCAGTTCCAATCATTGAGAGGTAGGATGCATCCTTGGTTTCTTCCTTCTTTACAGCTTCCTTTTGATAACGATCCAAAATGTGATTTCTCTCACTTCTGGAAATTTCCTTCATTTCCAATAACTTGGTCAACTCTTGGAGAGAATGTTCAGGCATTTGAAGATAAATTTCATAGGTATTGTCAGGAACTGCTGCCAATGCACGTAATGTAATTTCAATCTTTTGCATTTTAGAGTCTACTAACTTTTGGAAGGAAGAAATATCTGATTGCTCGAATCTCTTATCATTTCCCAGAACTAGTAAACGTCTCAAACTATATTGAGTAAGTGATTTGACATCTACCAACATTTGATGAGCTCCAACTCGTGAAAACTTTTTACATTTGTAAATATTGGATAAAAATGTTGTGATAAAGGTAATTGTAAATCTATCACACAAAAATTTGAAATTATCCAAAGAAAGTGAGTTGGCAATGTATGGCGCAATATCATTCAAATTTTGAACAATGTTTGAAACATATCCAGATTGATCTCCAACACTTTCCATAATTCCCCAATTTTTAGCCAACATTTCAGAGAGTGGCTTTTCCAAAACATTCATCAAATTATTCACAAGCATTTCAATACCACTCTTTACAATTCCTAAAAACTTTTCTTGTTCTTGAGAGAGATCAATTTGTGCAGAGTATGGCTCTTGGAGTAATCCTCTTAATTCTTCTTCCAAAGGTTGAGTATTTTGTTGAATATAATCTGCACAGTGAATAATGTAAAAGATGATCTTTTCCTCCTTCTCGGTGAGTCTCTTCTTTTCCGTGGTAATTGTATCAGTTGGGAGTACTGCTGATAGACCTAACTTGGTAGTCATTCCAACATAGCCGGTAATTGTTGAAGTGACAGACTTTTGTTCTGTTGGTGTGGTATTTTGAACTTTAGGAAGTTTTTGAATGAGAATATCAGCATAGCTCATTAAACATTTTCTGAAAACACTTTGAAGAACATCGTTCAAAGTTTTTCCACTCGACACAGCACTACATGATTTCATTGATTCAATCACATAGATCAGGACATCTTGGCAACTACTAGCTTGATTAACATTATCCCAGGTTTCCTTTTTTACAATTTTGGCCAAAATTTCCTTCATGGCATCTTCCTCAAACTTGATATAGACGTGCATATGATCTTCAAAGCATGAGCTTATGAATCCTCTGAAATTGTACTTGTTCTTTGGAGTTTTGATTTCTACTTCATCCTCATTATGAGCAGCTGGTTGTACTGGTGACTTTTCTGGATAGAATCGAGACTGCATGTTTCTTTCAAATTTCATTGTTGAGAGAATGGCTAGATATAGTAGTTTACCACTTATTGAACTGTCCTTCTTCAACCATAAAAGAATGGATTCTCGGGTCTTTAAACTAAACTCTACTACAAGTTCTTGTGGAACACACCAATCATGTGGGAAAATATGATCGTACTCTTCCTCGAAATTCTTGAGCAATTGTTTGATAAATTTGAATCGATCATCAATGCTTTCCAATTTCCTGTCTTTAAATTGAGATTCATAGGTAGAGAGTTGTAAGGCAGCAAATTTAGAAACCAACTCTATTCTTACAACATCATCCTCCAAAGCATCAACGATTGGACACATTTCTGAGAGGATACCTTGTAAATTTTCATCCTTCTTTGATCCCAGCTCTTTACAATCCTTCAACAATATTCCTTGAAGTGATTGTCTAAAATTATCAAATCTCTTGAAAATTAACTGAGCTTTTGGAACAGTCTTGAATTCTTCAAGGGATTGTTTCAGCTCGTTAGAAACAATCAAAAACTCTGTCACTTGTTTGTATTGTTTCTTTGATGCTTGAATTTTCATCTTTTCAATAATGGTAGTGAATGAATTCAATCTCTTCAATATCATTATTGTTTGAATTAAATTTCTCTTCCCAATTTCCAAAGCTCTTGTTTCTCTGGCCTGTTCTGCCTTCTCTGAAAGGGATTTCAAGTATGTCATCTTCTCGTTCAATATAAAAAGCATTTCCATAGCATCCTCCAATTCCTTTCTCATTGTAGATGATGAAGAACAAGCCTCTCTGTATGCAATCAAAATATCCAAATCAACATTCCTAATAAAACTCAATGAAAGATCCACTTTTTCCTCTCTAAATTGTTGTTCACCGTTCAAAGAACCCGTTGATGATGATGATGGTGATGAACCGAACAACTTTCTTGAAGTTATATAATAGAAGGCATCATATTCTTCCACTGTAAATATGTCATCCAATTGAAAGTCTGGTAATTCTGGTTTTGTTGCTGATGATAGTGGAGGTGTGTTAGTGGTAGCCTTTGGTGAGCCGAGAATATTCTTCTTTCCAGTTAGGAACATTTGTTTTTTCCGTTTAGATGAGTAATCAATTAGAGAAATTGGGTAATACAGTTACTAAAAGACTTGCTATTTCTTTATTCCGATATTCAGGTAACAACAACCAAAAATTGAATTTTCAAAAAATGAAAATTTGCGAAGGTAGATGATGAGGGTTGTGTTTTGAATTTTTTTTTAAATTTAATTTTTAAAATTATCCAACACTTGATTTTAAGGGAAAGAGTCTAGCTTGGATACTGGAAATTGGTTTAATACATCAAAGTTTGATTTTCTTCAATGGTGCCACATTTTGCTGAGATTTCTAAATTCATTTTGGATCTTTCATTTTGTAATTGCAAGTTCACAAAAGTGTTGACAAATAGAATTTAAAAAAAATGAATCTACTTGCCCTCCCATTGGAAATTTGGCAATTTTGTATACTTCAATATTTGCTTGGTCCGATCTATCAAGTGAATTTAAATTCTAATGAAAATATTATGAAATTTAAACATTATTTCCAAAAATGGTGGATACTTTAAATATTCAAACAATTAGAACAGTTCATACCCTGTGTTGTGTTACTAGTAAAAAAGCTTGTCAATTATTCATGCAGGAAATGCATGACTATTGGAAAAAAGTTTCGAATGTATTGGAAATGGTTGTTTATTGGAAACGATATCAATCTTTTGAGGGATTTTCATTAGCAAGAGGAGATATTTCAGTTTATGATTCAGTTTCGCTTGTGAAAATGCAAAAACTTATTGAGGCAACTGAGATGAATTCCAACAGAGAATATTCACAAATTATTGATCCATCTATGTGTGGCTTTCACTATCAGATACCTGTGGACTTGGATGGAATTCCTAATGATTTTGCAAACGAGGAAGTGAACAAGTTATTTGAGGAAAGAGTTGATACGTTAATGATATCTGAATCTAAATTTGAAAAGATTAAATCTATCACTCAATTGGAACCATATGACCTGTATTTACACAAGGCATTTATATTGGTACTTGATATGATTACTTATTTTGATAGTGAGAGATTTAAGAATGATAGTTATATGTATTGGGATACATTGGAAAGAAGTTGTCTTATTTCGAAAGGTTTAGTTTCAAGTAACCCAACAGATCGCTCACTTGGTTTTGTAATTGATATGGAAACTGATATTGAAAGTTTAATGCTCTTGAGACAATTGGAGCCCACTTGTGTGGCCCTTTCAATTAATTTCACATCAGAGCACTATCAACAATTTGTAATACCCAACAAATATGCTCAATTTTTATGCTTTTCTTTCCAAATTCCCAATGAAACTTCAACTGAATACGACAACTTCCTTGATGGTCAAGAATTTCCTAATGTTATTGATTTAACCATCAGGTTGGCTTCCAGTGATTCGAATTATTATTTTAAAATTGATACAGAACGATTAGAGAGGAATATTCTTTCCGCCATAACAAGGAAGAAATTCCCCAAGTTATTAAGAATTTCAATACAAGGATGTTCCTGTATTTATAAATTGTTAGAGCAGGAAATATTTTCAGAGCTGGCCTATGTGGAAATTATTCCACAGACCGACAGAGATATGGAACTTTACAATTGGTCTGAAAGAAGAGTTCACAATTTCATCAATCATCACTTTATTGAGAAGGATCATTCATTGATTCATCAATTGGTTGTCCATGCAAAGATTGTTAGGAATGACCCTGATGCCAAATATGACACCATTAAGGAATTGTACGATATGAGCAGGGGTAAATTTGCGGCTTGCATTTCACACTCCTCAATCAATGAATATTATGACAGATGCTATGAGTAGTTACAAAATGACCAATAAATGCAAGATTTTGAACAGAATTGACTTAAGCATGACAAGTTATTTTTTGAATAGTTCAAGATTTGAAATCGAGTGCCTATTATTGAAGATTTTTACCAATAATCATCACATGAGCTCATTTTCCATCTTTGAAATGATGAAAACTATTTGCGTCTCTTGATGTATTTCGAATTTTGGAAATGTATTTTGTGGCTGTATGACAATCCAATTCTTGTTTTTTCCAATTTCATTTATTTATTTTGTTATTTTTATTTAAAAAATAACCAGAATTAATTGAAATGGCTTCGGAAGAACAAGTGGCCATGGAAGATGATGATACTTCTGCCTATCAATTTGGAGAGTTTATTTCATCGTATGCTTTTCCTCAGAGCATTCATACCATTGAATTGAATACAACGATGGATATCTTGTTGGTGAATAATTTTCTGTATAGAATTCCGAGTATGGAGAGGCTTTTGATGATCGAGCACTCTAGTGATGAGAGAATTAAATTTAGTCCATGTGGAGAATATATTATTAAAATTAATCAGGTGGATAATCATATGAAAATGTATCATATTGATAACAAGTTGGAGGAAATTCAAGTCAATAATAATTCTATTGTGGATTTAATGTGCGATGAATTAATTTATGATATTGAGTGGATTAAATTGGAAAAGACAAGAACTGAACATTATTTGGATACTTTTCTGATAAAGTTTGATCCGAACCATATGGCTGTTTCGGGAGCTATGGAACAAAATCAACAGAATCAGCAGCAACAACAATTAGAGCCAACATCATGTATCAAATTTGAAACTAGTAAGAATTTATTGATTTTGTATCTGAAAAATCAATTACTAGATAATAATTATTCAGCACTCTTATTGTTGAATGGTAAATTACCTATTATGAGACTCAAGTCTTTGGACCATATTAAAAAGGTGAACCACAAGAAGGATTTGAATATTGACAAGTTTGGAAAATCATTAAATATTTTGCCAATTCTAGAGAATGTTAATGAATGTAGGAAAGATATCACTAAAAGTTGGAGTGACTTCTTTGCCAACTCTGTATTTGTAAAACTAGAACATTTGGATATTTTTGAATTGATATCTACACGTTTGAATTATATTAATATGGAACTGTTTGCAAGCGTTGAAGAAGCCTTTTATGCTAAATTGTTAATCTCTTTCAATCATATTATTGATAGAATTGATAATGGATTTAGTTTGATATTTTCATATTTGGAATATTTAATATCCAATCTGAATGACTTGGACTTACAAGAATTATTTTTACTAGTCAATGATTACTATTATGAATGGAAGGTTAAAGTTTGTGAAAATATCAAATCTATACTAATTTGCCTTTCCGATATTCAATCACAAAAATCAAACATTAATCCAAACGTTGAATCTAATTTCAAGTTTTACAATTTTGACAAATTTAATCAAAGTATTGAAAGTTTACAAAAAAAGATATTGAACTCCCATTACTTTAATGTCATGGAGGTATTAGATGCTCAAAAACATCTCAAATTCAACTATGAATATTGTAAAAATTCATCTGAGCACTACTATTATGTGTCCGATAATACGCTCTACATTTTCAATGATACATTAGAGGATAGACAGGAACCAATTCAAATTGTTTGTGGATTGGCCGATGAAACAGTCGACGAGGTCTATCTCTACAAGGAGAATCGTTTCATTGTCAAGACTCCACACACCATCCTCTATATTGCCGACAATAACATTGTCAAATATCTACAATTCGAAGATGAAATTACCAAATTTACAATCTCAACGATACGTAATCTATTTGCCATTTGTATATCATCCAATGATAGATTATTCTCAGTTTATGAAATCACCGATTGATTGCCTTAATAAATTGCCGTTACGTATCCAAAAATTGGCGGCAAATTTAAAAAAAAACAATCTCAAACACACCAACTTCTGCTCCTGTTATCATCACAATTCCAGATGGATAGTATCAGAGAGAATTATGCCTCCCCTCTAGTTAGAAAAGGTTCCACTGCCTCACTCTACCGTAACAAGTTATCATCGGCGAGTCTCAATAATTCAATATTAAGCAATAACAGCAGCAATAATAGTAGCTTGAATTTGAATTCTTCATCATTGCCAAATAAGAAGCAACAACAATCCATTCCCTCTCATCAGAACACTTCTTCAATAGGCTCCAATAAGGTTAATTATCATCCGGTTTCACTTGTGCAAATACCAGCGTCAACACTACCTCCAACAGTTTCGATTCAGTTAGCCCCAACTTTTGAAAAGAATAAGGATATTAAGATTTCTCTCTCATCAAAATCACTCTCTAATTCTTCACAATTTGGTAATAATCAACAAGTTAATCAACAACCAAAGAGTAAGGATCAAAGTTTTCATGCCTCAAAATTATATTCTGATATTTTGGAATCGTCCCTACAATCAATTTATCAACATTCATCATTGCAAGAACCAAATCCACCGACGATTGCTTCATCAATTAGTGGATTGGATTACATTAAGGACTTGTATAGTAATAATAATAGCTTTGTTTTGGAAGATTCATCACATTTGAATAATAGTATTGATAATCAAGTACAGGAAGAGGAACAATCAAATAATAACAATAATTCACATACTAACAGCTCACTGGTTTTGGAAACAATCAAGCAGGATATTAATGGTATTGATGAGCTGATTTTGTTTTCACCACTTTCTGGTATGAATGAAACAACTTGTTTTGATATTGATTTGAGCAATGAAAGTGGGGATGATTTGTTCGATTCTCTTAGTTATTTGATAAATTACAAAAACATTAATTTATTGAATCTAAGCAATTGTCATCTCAAATTTAACACGCTTTCACTTCCATTCAAAGAAATTAGACTAATCAAAATATTAGACCTTTCAAATAATGGATTGGTTTGCAATGATATCAAGTGTTTATGCGAAAATCTCAAACAAAGTTCAACTCTTCAAGAGTTAATACTTTCCAACAATTTAATCTCAAATAAGGGTATTGTTTCAATTGGAAAATATCTAACTGAAAAGAATAACTTGAAAAAGCTTCATTTGAAAAACAACAGGTTCACAGCTCTTGGGTGTAAAGCTCTTTGTTATGGAATGATGCTTAATACCAATTTGATATACTTGAACTTATCGAACAATAATCTTCAAGTAAGTATTTCTATTTAAACGTGAACTTACATTTAACAGAATTGCCATTTTATAATTAGTCAACTGTTGCAATATGCAAAATCTTTAAAAAGCATCGAGCTGAATGAATGTGACCTCTTTTCAAATGATTACTATTTTAGTTTCAATAACAGTATCAATATTAACATTCTCAATTTGGAGGGTAATAACCTTGGAGATTTTATCACTAAAAAATTATTCAGCAGCTTGTCTGTCAATTCAAGTATTCACACTATTTATTTGAAGAATAATGGAATAACGGACGAATGTACAAATACTATTAATTTATGTCTCAAGAACAACAGTAAATTACTTTATTTGGATTTGAGCCAGAACAAGCTCAGTTCTCGCTCAATATTTCTCCTAACTGAAACTTGCAAAATATTCAAGAAGAATATTGTAATCTTGACAAAAGATCAAATAGTTTCCAATGAGAATGACCAAGAAGAGGAAGAAACTCATTCTACTTATTCCTGTGCTGATAGTGGGAGAACAGAATTATTGCAATTACAAGACCATTACGGCTCAATTCCAACACAACAGAATAAGGTTCAAGTAATTGAGGAGGAAATGACCTCTCCTGAATCAATCTCAGTAGCAGATATAGCCAACACATCAGATATTATTTCAGAACACAGTGAACCATCCTATCCCTACTTTGATATGTTGATGAACGTTCCTCACATTGAAGTTAAGTTACCTATTTATTATGATGATGAGCAAGAGGAGGAACTAGCTGCTACAGACCACAATGACGAGGATGGTGCACCTTGTGATGGATCAGTTCTTATAGAATGTGAAGAGGAAATTGATGAGGAGGATCAATGTTTCAATGAGGATGATATTGTTGGAACTTTTTTATCCAATCTGTCTTCCAATTATCCATATCTAAATGGTGCATCATTACTTTCTGTGAATGAGAGGGCTCAAGAGATTGTTTATTCAGATTCTGAAACTCAATCTGAAACAGACCACAATGAAACAACAGTTCCAATGAATGACAATTTGGAAAATTTATTGCTTGATAACAATTCTTTCCACAACCTTCTTGAAACAACTGGTAGTGACTTTAACACCAGTTCATTATCTTCGACCTCTCACCAACCAGTAAGAAGAGAACGGTTAAATTCACTTTCCAAAATCCGAGATCAATACATTTCACCAATGAAAAAACCACAAGCCTCAGCATCTCCTATGAATCTTTCCTTTTCCCAACTCATGAAACAATTAAATTACTAATCTTAAATGTAAATATTTGTTCAACAATCAATGCTATTGTTAATGATGACTTCTTTTAATAGATAGAAAAAAAAATTATTCAAAAAAAATGCCAAAACAGAAGAACATCAACAAACCTCTTGAAAAGATCGATGGTGTCGTACAAAAGCAAAAGCACAAGACACCAACTGTTGATGAATATGATGGGGAAATTGGAGATCGTTCGAAATTATTAGACAAAATTTTAGCAGCTAACCAAGTGGAGACCGATGAGCTGGCTGAAGTTGTTGATGAGGGTGATTGGATTGAATTAAAGAAAAAGAAGAGAAAACCTGTTAAAAAGCACACCAGACTGGCACACATTATGCAAATAGCACCAGGACTTCACGTCATGAGAAGACAAATATTAACAATATTATTTCAATTGGAAATTGAAAATGGTAAATTAAAATCAATTCCGGCGCAGCGAATTGCTAGAGCATGTAAATTTGTAATTAAAGAATCACCTAAACTTAATAATGAACTTAGGTACTTTGATGATAGATTTAGAAATTGGCAAAAACCAATACGAAATATGAATGAATTGAAGATGACAAAAGCTGCACTTGAAAGAATCACTATTTACATTGAGAAAAAGTTGGAGAATATGTGTAGATGGGGATGGGTGATAACTATGGCCAAAAAGCACCGGACTCTTTATGCAGAGAGTTTCCTCACTGGCAAAGAATTAATGGAAGGAAAATATGATATTAATAAGAGCGTCAATTTTAATGCTCTTGCCAGGAGGTATAATTTCTTTACACCAGAGGAGGAGGCTTTGGAGAAACGAGTGGAGGCGTCTGGTCTTAATAGTATCGATCAAGTCTTTTCAATTTTGGAGAATGCTGATATTACCAATCCTGATTCCAATTTGTTTGCTTTAACACATTTGGATAATGCTCTCAAAAAGCCTCAAGTGATGGAGAGATTAACTAACACTGGTGGTGAATTTATTGCTCGATTGAAGCAAGAACGAGATCAACAACGGGCACAAGAACAAAGAAATCGACAAACACGTGCTAATTCAAATATAAACCATTCCGATGATGATGATGATGATGATGATGAATCATTCAGTATGGAAGAAGAAGAGCCACCAAAGAAATCCTCAAAGAAAAGGAAGAAACTAGAGGAAGACGATGATGATGATGATTCTTTATCAGAAGTGGAAGAGCCTCCCAAGAAACCAAAGAAATTATTTGCATCATCATCTCCTAAACCATTAGTAGTAGCCCAGATGTTAAAGAAAGCATCTTCTAAATCATCGAAAGAGTCTTCATCAAAGAAATCCTCTTCATCATCATCTTCCTCTTCTAAACCATTAGTAGTAGCCCAACAAGCAAAGAAATCAAAGAAATCTTCTGATTCTGCATCTGCATCATCATCTTCTAATCCACAACCAGCAGTAGCTGAACCAGCAAAGAAAAAGAAGAAGAAGAAAAAGAAGAAACAAAGTGATGCATCTGCAACGCCAGCAGTAGTAACACCACCAAATAATTCCTCAAAGAAAAGAAAGAATCAAAATGATAATGACATAGCTCAACCTTCATCGAAGAAATCCAAAAAATCCTCTGATTCTTCTGCAACTACTCAAGTAGCTCCTCAACCTTCAAAGAAATCCAAACAATCCTCTGATTCTTCTAAACCTTCTAAACCATTAGTAGCAGCCCAACAATCAAAGAAAGCAAAGAAATCCTCTGCACCACCTTCTAAACCACCAGTAGCCGAGTCTTCCACAAACCCATCACAAGGTGAACCAGCAAAGAAAAAGAAGAAGAAGAAGAAGAAAAAGAAGTAAATGAGAAGGATTCAATAAATTCACCAAATTAATTGAATCATCAAAATATTAACTTTAAAAAAATGGCTGATGAGGATTTAGTACTTGCTCTCGATGAGGGAGACATGTTCAAAGTGGATGACAATTATTATAAAAAACCAAGACCAACCCGAATTGAAACATTTGATATTGAAGGAACAGATTTTCAAGTTAAAGTTAGTTTAATTGGTAAGATCATCATGATTTCCGATGTTTTTTAAAATATTATTGAAAACAATATTTTGTGTGTGTGATGAAAATTATGAAATTTTGAAATATAAAGGTGAACACATTTTATGGGGAAATTATTTATATAATGCTGCCAAGTGTATTGGAGAATACTTTTACAACAATCAACATTTGGTAAAGGACAAGAGTGTTGTTGAATTGGGAGCTGCTGGTGGTTTGCCAGCTCTAGTTTGTGGAAAATTGGGATCTTCTAAAGTAGTAATTACAGATATTGATCATGGAGATTTGATTCCAAATTTGGCTGTGAATGTGGAATTAAATTTTGATAAGGAAGATAAACGAGTTCAAGTGAGAGGTCATGCTTGGGGTGAGAAATTGGACGAAACTTTTGCAGGTGAAAAGCATACCTATGATGTTTTAATTTTGAGTGATGTTTTATTTAATCATGTTTGTCATTATCAATTATTGGACAGTTGTGATTATTTATCTCATGAAAATTCTATTATTTATGTGAGCTATACGTAAGTAGAAAAACATTGAGAATTTTCAGTTGTCAACTTGAACTCTAAACAGTCATCACAGACCTTGGCTTATTAAGGAAGATTTGGAATTTTTCACACGGGCCAAAGAAAGAGGCTACATGGTTGAACCAGTTTTTGATAGAAAGTATCCACCAATGTTTGAAAATGATCCAGGTGACGTCGAGGAACGATCAACAGTTCACGTTCAAATAATGAAACATGATCCCCAACTCTTTAAAACTAAACTAGACACAAAATAAATATCAATATTCAATTCAGAAGTTGCAGTTCATTTCTGTGTGAATTAAATTCATTGCCCATTGGCCTCAAGAATAAGGCACACTAACCTAACACCACTATTTCCAAGTTGAAAATCAATTGCCCATCAAAAAAGAAAATGTGCAAACCACAACAATCAATTACCCGCTCAAGGTTTCTGTTTTTTGTGCAGATTTTACTGTTCTGCACCTTTTCACACAATCTTTGGGTAGAATGTAAATATAATGATCCTAGTATTGTTGCTAATGATAATCATGCTGAATATTATTATTATAATTATTCATGGCCCTCCGAGAATATCTTTCAAATATATAATAATATAGCAGTGAATGGAACTGTTTTATATGTCAAGCCGATTGCTGTTCATACTACTAGTAGTAGTCGATCATCTACATCTGCACTGAGTAATCCTACCACGGATCCAAAGAATTGTACCACCATTGAAAATCCATGTGTCAACCTGGCACAAGTGGATGCCTTCTTGAAACAAGTGCATAAAAAGAAGGCACCAGCAGATTCAGTTATTATCAGACTCATAATGGATAGGGAGAATCGTCGAGTATTTCCCTTTCCTGCTGTTGGAGTCTCTTCCTATTCCTATAATGAATTGTTTTTCGAATTGTTTAATGCAGAGGAAAATAGTAATGTTACCTATAGTTGGGCTGGCTTTGATTTGAGTGGTGTGTCTGCTCAGGCAATTACCTTCTTGAATGTTTCTTTGGATAATTTCAGATACATTCAAAAGTACAAAACCATTCGATTCATTGATTCAAAAATTGGTAGTTTTGTTAGCATGTACAGATATAGAGTATTTGATGGTGATATTACTCTGAGTGGATCAGTACTTGCAAATTCTGCACTCAATTCAATTAATAGACTTTTGGTAAAGGAGAGTAAGATTATTGATTGTGAAATGTATGGAATGAGTTCTGAATATGTCAAAATGTTAAACACTGAATTTTTGAATAGTTTCTTTAAATATCATTTGGATTCAGATACTGATATTGTGGTTACCTCTCAATTATTTCATATAGAGAATTCAATATTGAATAATTCTACATTAGAACTCTTTAGATTTGATAATGTAATGATCAAGAATTCCAACACTCTTCTCATTTCTAGAATTATTCTACGTTATTGTGGAGCATCTACCATTGATAGTCTCATTGCAAAAGATTCATTATACCTTAGTGTTAATAATGCAGACCAAATATTGATTCAGGATTCCAATTTTGAAACGACAAAGTTCAATACAGATGAACCAATATTATCAGTTTCAGCAACTTATTCCCTTAGACTCGTGAGAACTCGCTTTAAAAATTGCAACACCATGCCAATAGTCACTGATATGGTATCTACTATTTTCATGTCTGCCTGTAGTTTTGAGAATGGTTATGGAATGATGAGGTCAGTGAATGATTTTTCAGAGGGTTCCTATATCAGAATAGCAATTGGTCATGCCGATTCAAATATCAATGATGGAGATGGAACTCTCTATGCCTATGGATATAGCACTTTATCATTTGAGGGATTTACCTTCTCCAATAATACAGCCAGAAATGGAGGTGCTGTCTTCTTTTATGGAGAATCAATATATAGTTTGTTTACAGACATGATTCAAAACACTGCATTGAATAATGGAGGAGCTCTATACTATAGAAAGGAAATAGGAACTAATTACGTTTTAGATAATTGTGCATTTGTATTTGATAATAATACTAGTAAGAATAGTGGAGGAGCTCTCTATTTGGAAATTGAGAGAGATGTTGGAAGAAACAAATTATTTGGTGCTTGCCGTAATAATTTGGCGTATAATTCTGGAGGATGTGTCTATGCAACGAAACAAATCGATTTTCAACGTGCTATAATTTCTAATAATGTTGCTTACAATTATGGACCTACATTTGCATTTGCAATATCTAATGCAACTTTTCACATGGAAATTGAATATTCAACTGAGAACATTGTGAAATACAATGTGGGAGCTGAAACTGTTTTGGAAATTGACATTTATCCAGGACAAGTTATTTCCTCAATCATATTTTCTGATTTCATAATCAACAATGGAGAACGTTTGAAATTCTTGAGTCAACCTGCAACAATTCATTGTTCAACAGATGCAAATATTCTCTACCAAACTCAAGAGCATACTAACATAATTAATGACCTCTCTTTGAATTTAAATGTTCAAAAGAAAAAGGTGAATGCAACCATGATCTTGGAATCTTTTCAAATGAATTTCATTTTCAATATTCTTGATTGTCCAAAAGGTATGAGCTTGAAAAATCCTCTCCACTCTGTATTTGTATGTTTAGAAAATGATAGTTTCAATCCAATCATTTTATACACAGTCATACCCGTCTCTGTAATTTTTGGTATGCTCTTGACTGTTGTGTTGTTAGTAGCGATTTTCTTATTGGTGAGATGTTTCAGAAATGTCTATAAGAAGGCATCTCTATTTGATAAGAAACTAAAGGCAGAGGAAATGATGGAGAGAAAGATTAATAATAGACAATTATTCTTTGTGAGTAGCTCTTCCAATATGTCTACACCATTGCTTTTGAATCATTCGAGCTCATCAAGTGTGAAAAAGTCACGATTGATTATTCCATTGGAAGATATTGAAATAATTAACAAGATTGGAGAAGGAGGAAATGGAACTATTTGGCTTGGAAAGTGGAAATCAAAAGATGTCGCATTGAAATCTTTGAAAACAGATGATACCTTGCAAGATGAAGAATTTGAAAGAGAAGTTGCTGTACTGAACATGTTAGATCATCCTTCCATTGTTAAATTATATGGTGTCTGTATCTCTGACAATAGAAAGTTTATGATTGTGGAATATTATCCTAGAGGAAGTCTCGACAAGTTGATTTATAATTGTAAAATAGGAAAGGAATCTTTGACTCTTGCTCAAAAACTGAGTATTCTTGTTGATGTTGCCACTGGAATGTCATATTTACACTCTCAACAAATAGTTCACAGGTTTGTTTCTCAATTTTGTAATCTTTCTGATATGAATTTATGTATTTATTTAATAGAGATTTAAAACCAGGAAATATACTTCTCTCAGATGGAGGCAATGCTAGGGTATGTGATTTTGGTCTCAGTAAGGTCTTGTCTACAAGTCTTGGAGCTACCAAACAAATAGGCAGTACATGTTACATTGCAATTGAGATGATTAATGACTCTCCAAAATATACCACAAAAGTAGACGTTTATTCATTTGGAATTATCATGTGGGAATTATTTTTTGAAGAAGCTCCATATTTGAATTACAATTCCAAAAAAGTTTACAAATTCATACCAAACAATTCAAAAATGAATGAATTCAACATTCTCTTTCATGTATTGAATGGAGAAAGACCAGTTATTCCATTCACCAATAGAGAGGAGGAAATATTGTGGCTTGAGGAATTTGTACTGCCATTCAATAATTCCTTCTCTACCTCGTCTCTTGTTGCCATTTCGGATAAGTATTTGGATTTGATGAAATTGTGTTGGAGTGAGGATCCAAATAGTCGACCATCCTTTGAGTCTATCTCTCGACAATTGCAATATTTACTTTATGAATCAAAAAAAACCTTTCCTCAATACTATCAACCCATTAATTAGTAGTAATCATGATGATGATTATTAATTGGAGAAGAAAATTCAAAAATCAACATTGAAGAGATTTTGGATTGTTGAAATCTAACAAATAGCACATTTCTTCTTCTTCTTCGTTGACTTTGACTTTGGATAATTGGCATCTCTAAACATGGTATATGATTTAGTAATAATCTCTGCAAAATCTGAAATATTTCCCTCCTGTAGCTGATGTTTCAATATATGTTACTGCTCCAATATTCTCGGCCATTTTAATAGCATCTTCATGTTTAACTGGAGAATCAAAATATCTATATCTCATTCGTTTCATTTCTTCATCTCTTGACAAGTCAATCTTGCAGGCCACCAAAACAATTGGAGAATTTGGCAAGTGATGATTAATTTCTGGAAACCACCGAGATGGAATCTTATTGAAAGACCTAGATCGTATTCTTGAAACAAATACAAAACAAATCTGTTTCTGGATATGTAAGAGGTCTCAATCGATCATAATCTCTAATTTTCTCACACTGGTCAATTGGAAAATTTTCAACCAACTTACTCTTGACCTTCAGTATCCACAACACCAATGCCTTGACATGTTTCCTTGTATCCACATCCATATATTTAATCAAGTTTTCATTATAAACTCCATCATTGTAAAAGACAGGAATTTCTCCATAAAATAATTTTGAATTAATGTTGTTTTTCCAACAGCTCCTTCTCCACAAATGATAATGTTTAAACATTCCTTTTCCCAATCAATTTGTTTAATTGAGATTGAATTTTTAATTTCTTGAAATGGTTTGTAATGTTGTACGGTATCAAGTTTAGTTTGGAGAGCTAGTAATGGATTCGAATAACTTTCTTCATTCATTTTGTCAACTTGTAATGAAAGTTGATTAATTGAGATCTATAATCACATTTAACATTTGAAAATTCATTGTAAAACACCTTAGTCTTTGAACAATTAAAGAAATTGGAACTCTCCACCTTATCTGCATCAATGATTGAGATTCTGATAATTCACAGCTTTTCCTTTAAACAGAGAGAGAGTTTGTGCATGTTAAAACTTGATTGTTTTGTTGGTGTAAAGTTAGGATTCTTCACCAAGGTATTCCACAAGTTTTAAAGTTAAGTAATAAAGCTTTTCCAATATAAGAGCATAGAAAGCAAAAGAAAGAAGTTTCCATAGTATCCAATTGGTACAATTCTCTTTTCAAGTTCTTCTGAACTTGTTGGAAAGCCAATCTCTCCCATCTTTTTCACAATACTTGGTTTTTTAGAGGCATTCCCAATGGTAAATCTTCGACACCCCCTTTCATGAACTCACTTTGGAATTAGGATGACGTTCAATTATAAACGAAAGTCTAAATACTATATATTGATCCCTTGACCTCCACTCCCTTCAACACTTTATGTTCCTATTAATGTTAGTCTATGAATATTAATAATTAATATTTGTATTAAGGAAATTCGAATGTGATAAATTATCAACATATACCTGCAAAAGTATTCATCCTAATATTAATAATTGTTACATAATGTTGTAAGCACCACCACTAATACTACTGTAGAGTTCTTTCTTACATGTCCCATCATTATAAGATTTCCCGCCAATTAAATTTTTCAATGAATCATGCCATTGACGATTTGAGTGCTCTTGAACCTTGAACCAGTTTTCATCACCTCTCACTAAAAAATACGGCAACTACTTGCTTTTCTTTTGTCGCCAAAAGTTTAGATCATCAACTACTTGCAGAAGGAAGACATTGCACTTTCGAGAATTTATTCATTCACCACTTTAGGGGAGACTTTCAAAGTTTTAAAAAAAACGTTTTAAAAATACAATAACAACAACAACAACAACATGTCTATTGAACATAGAGTTGGAGACAAGTTTGTTCTCGGTAAAAAGATTGGAAGTGGAGCCTTTGGTGAAATTTTCATTGCTACAAACAAGCAAACCTTGGAAAAGGTTGCTGTAAAATTGGAACACAGAAAAGCTAAACATCCACAACTTCTCTATGAAGCTCGTTTGCTCAAGCTCTTGAACCTCTCAAAGAAAGGTATGTTTCATTTACTTTAACGCTGGTTACAAGCCCAACACCTGTCCTTTAATACTTTGAATTTATCATCTCTATTCCATAATATTTTAAATTTATTATTCTGTTGTATTGATGTGATGACTACATCAACCATCAATATTGTATAACAACATTTTTGTATACAATCTCGTCATCTATTCTTACAATTGTACTACTCTCGGTAATATTTACTTCTACTACTATGACTTGTTATGATGAATAACACAATACATTCATATTTAACAACACCAAACTCTTCAAAAATTTAAACTGCCCATTATCATGATAATTTTGACGTTCTGGCTATCTGGAAGAGGAAGCTGTGGGCATTCCAAAGGTTAAATGGTATGGTATCGAAGGAGATTTCAACGTAATGGTTATGGATCTTCTCGGTTCCTCTCTCGAAGAACAATTCAACCGTTGTGGTCGTAAATTCAGTTTAAAGACTGTTTTAATGTTGGCTGATCAAATGTTGAAACGTGTAGAATACTTGCATGCCAAGAACTTTATCCACAGAGATATTAAACCAGACAACTTTTTGATGGGACCTGCTAAAAAGTCAGAAATTGTCTACCTCATCGATTACGGTTTGGCCAAGAAGTACAGAGACTCAAAGCACGTACACATTCCATACCGTGATAACAAACATTTGACTGGTACTGCTCGTTATGCCAGTATTAACAACCACTTGGGTATCGAACAATCAAGAAGAGATGATTTGGAATCTTTGGGTTATGTCTTTATGTACTTTAATCGTGGATCATTGCCATGGCAAGGATTGAAGGCCAGAACTAAATTGGAAAAGTATAACAGAATTTGTGAGAAAAAGACTAGTACTGGTATCAAGACTTTGTGTGAAGGTTATCCACCTGAATTTGCCACTTATCTCAATTATGCTCGTTCTCTAGGATTTGAAGATAAGCCAGATTATCAATATTTAAGAAAGTTATTCCGTGATTTATTTGTTCGTCAAAAGTTTGTTATGGATTACGAATATGATTGGGTCATACTGGATAAGAAGAGAGCTGAGGATCCACAATCAGGTGCCTCTGTTGGAGGTGTTTCTGTTCCAAACACTATGGGATCTACCGGAATTATTCCTGGATCAAGTCAACAACAATAATCATTTAGCTTTGTTATGGTTGTTCCTAAAGTAATGTGATATTGATGTTTTGTCATCACATGGAATTATTGAACCACTCACAGAGTTTTCAATATTTGTACAATTTGAACACTTTCCACACATTTTCTTCACCATTATTCACCTCCCTTCTTCCCAGTACTACTAACACAATAAAAAAATTAATTTCAATAATTACATCATTTAGATTACGACAGAAATGGATAGCGCGGGTTCAATATTTAAAGATGTATCAATTATTGCCAGGTTTAGAACATAACGTCCGGATTTGGATTAGTTAAATAGCCATGCTATCTCAATAATAAATAATGGATAATTAACAATTAATTCTAAAAATTAATAATGTATTATTAGCACAGTTATTTGTTTCAATTTTCAGTCAGTCAGTCAACAATTATTAATTTTGTAAGGTCGAATATTTTGATAAATCTTACAAAAAAAATGCTTCAATGTCGCACAAAACAGAATATCATCATGAACATCAAGTAATAACGCCAATTATTGGTTCTAAAGTATATCATCGGTTACAGAAAATAATTCAACATTTAATTCCATCAGAATTAAATATAAATCATTCTTCCGATGACAATCATCATGATGCAAATAATAATAATAATTATCAATCATTTGGAGAAACACAAATACTAGTGGATAATTCAATTGATTTTGATGAATTGGAAAAGGCTTTCCGACAATTTAAAATTCCCTCTCCCAAAATTCAAATAGTGGAAACTTTGCCAACCTTTGATAATGATAGAACAATTTCAGAGTTTAGGAAATTAGATACTACTATTGATGTCAATGAAACTAATGGGAAAATAATCGAACATTTTTCTAAATCTAATGTGGCAGGTGATGCTGCTGAGGACGAATTGGATGTTCTAGTCAAAAGAGCTGAAGATATGAGAATTCAAGAAGAATTAACAGAAAAAGGAACTATTAAGAAATCATCAGGTAAAATATATGAAGTTGTAAAATATATGCCACATTTGATTGTACCGACCTATGTCGAAGAAAGCACAAGAGCTGGAATGGAAACTAGAGAAAGAAGAAGACAGAGAATTAAAATTCTCTATGATGTCCAAACAACAAGAGCTCAAACACCTGCATTTCTTGATGTTTCTCAAGATGACCCTAAAACCCCTCTTGCATTTAGATATATCAGAATTATACTGACAACTGCAGAAGCAAGACGAGCACAAGATATTCATTTGGATCAATATAGCGCAAATTGTATGAGTATTGTCTATGCTACTCAATTGGGTGTGACAGGTAAACTTGTTCTTAAGGGAGCCGTTGTTCAATCCATTATCTATTACATTGCTTTTTATGATTTATTGAGTGCAGGTAAAGCAATGCCAGGAGCTGTCAGGGATTATTCATTGAAAATCAAAGTACGTTCACACGACTTTTTACAAGGAACTTTCAACGTTTATCGAGTGAATTGCATCCGAACAAATCATGAATTGGGTTTGTTTCATATTGTTATGAGAACTTTACAGAATTAAGGTTTTTTTTCAATAATTGAAAATGGTGTAGTTTTATAAATTGTAAAATTAGGTGCAACATTTCAATCACACAATCCATTTATTGTGAATTCTATTTCTTGGTTTTCTTTTCAGACTTCTTTTCAGTCTTTTCAGATTTCTTAGAAGACTTCTTTGCTGGCTTCTTTTCTTCTGGTTCCTCTTCTGGTTCTTGTTCTTCTTCGGCTGGAGCTTCTTCTTGGTGTTCTTCTTCATCGTTATGAGTTTCAGCAGCTTTCTTCACAGTCTTCTTCTTCTTCTTTTGAGGTTCATATTCTTCCTCATCTTCATCTTCAGAATCATCACGAGCAACGTAATCCTTTGAGCCATTCTTTCCAACTTCCTTTGTCAGAGAAGCCAAAGCTTCGGCATCTTTTGCATTTGGATAAATTCTTGGGATTTTAGATAAGTATTCACTAGTGATGGCACCCTCGACATCTTTGGCTTTAATGATGGCTCTGTTTCCGTGGATAGTAAAAATAGCAGAACGATAGAGAATATCTTCCAAAAGTTCATTATAGACTGTTCTGACAACATCATAAACACCACTATTGACTCTGTGAGCACCAGCTTTGAGAGCTATCCTTTGAATACATGGATTTGTGAGTTCTCTATTCTTCTTGGGTTCTCTTTTTTTGTCATAAGCCTGTTTTCTGAGGATACTCCTTTCTTTCTTTTCAGCATCCGTTAACAATGGTCTTCCTCTTCCTCTTTTTTTTTCAGTTGTAGTTGATGATTCAGGTTCTTTTGTTGTTGTTGGTTCTGATACTACTACTTTTGTTGTTGTTGTAGTTTCAGAAGCTTCAGGCTTAGCTTCCTTTTTTACGCCTTCCTTTTTTTTCTTGCTTTGAACAGCAACAGCTGGTGTTTTTGGAGCCATTTTTTATTATTAATTTTATCTTAATTTAAAATTGATGAAATTTTTTTTTGCACAAACTTGGTTCGAATGAAGAGAGGAACAAAACTAGGCAAAGTAAAATGTTGAATGAGAAAGAAAGTTGAAATGTAAGAATTTTAATATAGTAAGATTCAGGTTAGATTTAATAATTGATATTTTTCTGCATTTAGTTGAAGGTAATCATTGAGTTTCTAATGAAACGAATATCAAAATAAATGAATTAACAACTGGAGATTCTTTAAATGTGTTTTCATTAGGTATATTGAATAGGGTAGTGTTTATTGGAACAGTTTATTCCAAATTTCTAAAAGGGCAGATATTCAAGTGTAGAAACTTTCTGGTTTGTGTTAGACTTAAATGTTTAGGTAATTAATTATTGAAGATGAGTTATTTCATTTTGGCAATTCAGACTCCAAAGATTCAAATGAGTATAAACTTTACAACCTGATAGGTTAGTGAATTTTTCCTTGCATTGGTTCCATAAACTCAATTCTGTTACTTGTTGGCATTTTGTTGTTCTTTTCTCTTTCTTTCGGCATTTCTTAAATCCTTGTCAATTTCAAACTCTCTCATTTCTGTTCTTTCAAGGAATGATTGCTTTTCCAAATAACCATCTTTGGTGTATTGTTTCAACTCGTGCTCAATTCCCTCCTTTTCTTTATATTGTTTCCAATCTTGTTTACTTTGTGAAATTGTAGATTTTTTCTTTTCATTCAATTTCGACAAGGCTTGATCCAATTTTGAGGCCTTGTTATGTACAACTTGTTTTGTATTAATCTTGGTTTCATCCTTCTTTGATCTATCATCATCCGATAAATCCGATAACTCTAATAAATTATCCTTTTCCAAAGTAATTAAACACATATCATCCTCATCAAATGGAGGTGTATTAGCCTGTTGTTGATTCTTTTGTTTTTTAATCGAATTAAAATAATTAATTGTTTCCTCTATTTTTCTCTTTCGTTTTTGTGTAATTTCTTGCTCTGCTAATTTTTCATCACTACTCTTTTCAATGTCCAAAAAGATCGACTTGGGTTCATCCTCATCACTATTAACAAATGCAAAGGTTTCCGACAGCGATGATGTTTGTTTCATTTTTAAATATTTTGTTTTTAATTCTTTTTAATCTGTTATTATTGCTCTCGCAAGATACTGGACAAATTCAATAAGAATAACAATATCTTCCAAACAACTTTATGAACTCTTTACAATGTAAAGTGGTAAGGTAACGAACTGTTTATTATCTTCGTAATCTTGCAAGATGATAAGAGAAGGCTTTGAGACGGAAGCTTTGTTCTAATTTTAAATTTTTTTCTTCAAACAAAAAAGAGGAACATCTTGATATTGAAAAAGTTGTGCCCTCTCTCTCTCGAATTTTCATAGCCTCTCTGAAACGCAAGAACGAGAAGATTTTTATTGTTGTGTGATTTTATAGTTATTGGATATTACCAAGTTTTCAAACAATTTATTACTCTCCGAAGAAAAGGATTTCCAGTGGAATTTTAAGTGTACAATATGTTGTTGATTAGAGCAAGAGGAAAGGACGGTACATTCCGTTTAGAATTATCAGCAGATCAAACAGTTTTGGATATCAAAAAACTCATCGAAAAGGAAACATCAATTCCTCACTCAAGTATTTCTGTTACCAAGTTCCGCGAAAAGACACCACTGAAAAACACTGATACAGTTCAAGGTTCTCAATTAAAACATGGTGATATGATTGAATTTGTTTATGATACTACTCAACACAAATCAAAACAAGAAGTTGAAGAGGAAAAAAAGAGTCAACTTAGGGATAGTGAAGATTTGGATAATTTGGGTTTGAGAGAAAGAAAAAAGCATTGGACTTTGAGTGAATATTTAGATCTTGTAAATCAAGTTAAAATTACAATCAAACATCAAAAGTATGCCATTTGTTCGACTGCTTATTTGGATCAATTAGTAGGTCAATCATTCCAACAATTCCTCCTTCAAACTAGATTCCAATTCCAAAGATTTGCCTTCCTCTACGGTGAAACAAAAGAAGGAAAGAAGCCACAACCAACAGAAGAAGAAAAAAAGAAGGCCACAAAGGATGAAAACATTAATGTGGATGATGATTATTTGGATGTTTATATTAAGGTATTATTTGAACCAAAACAAGACAGTACGCCTGAAGGATTCAAACAAGTCGAAGATACAGTTTTTAATGATAGAGCTGACACTTTGGCATCCATGTTGGGAATGAAGAAAGTGGGTTGGATTTTTTCACATGACGGACAAAGAGAGTATCCATTGTTAGGTCCTGAAATTATCAAGGCTGCAGAATATCAATCAAAATATGGCCCTTCATTTGTAACAATTACAGCTTGTCGTAAGTAGTATTTACTTTTTTTGATTTTATACAATGTGAATAGCAAACGAGATTGGAGAAATTCAATTCGAAGCCTATCAAGTTAGCAAACAATGTGTAGAACTTTGGGAAAAGGGTTTGCTTTCGGAGAATCCAGAAAATCTAGAATTCTTAATTGCTAAGAAGCAAGTCGAAATAGAAAGAAAAATGACAAATGATATTGATGCTTTATTATTAGTGAGTAACGTTGCTATTGCTCCACACAAGAGTAGCTTCCAAGTTGGCTTCCCTCCAAGAAATAGACCAGGTAATGAAATGTTCCAAAATATGGTGGAACTCAAGTCAGTTCTTCTGGAAAGAAGATCTCAAAAATTCGTTCAACGAGTTTCAGATTTTGATTTATTGCTCTTCTTGACTGATTATTTGAGCTTATCTGTAAGTACTACTGGTTGGCACTAATTTTTATATAACTTTACAATTACCAGTCTGACTTCCCAGGATTGTGTGAAGCTGTATTAAGCCAAAATAACTCTCAAGCAACAATATTCGAAGAACTTATTAATGCTTATTGTGGTATTAACTAATTGTACAATAAACTAACCAATTTAAATCTTGTAATAGTGGAATGATATGAATATTTTAGTAACAGTATAATTGGATGAAGCTAAAGATAGTGGATAACTTGATTTCCAAGGAGAATTTACTATTTACAATGTACAATTTATTATTTAACTCTGTTTGAATTAAATGATTTAGAGATCTCTATTCTTGGCTCTGTTAAGTTCATTCCAGAACAACATCTTGTAATCAGCATTCAAGATACCATACTTGATGGATCCAGTCAAGAATGGAACATAGGTCTTTGTCATGTCCAAACCATTCTTAATTTCAAGGAATGGATGAGGATTTGAACGAGTTCTAGTAACTTGAGAATCTTCAAGAGTGTACCAAATCAAGAAGGCAAATGACAAGAGAAGAGCCAATGTAGCTGGGACAGTAATAATGACGACACCCAAATAATTGTACAAGAAGAATGGTTCACCTTCTCTGAATTCGAATGGCTTCAAGTCAAGTTTGTAACTATTATTGTTTTCATACTATTAACATGAAAATACATCACACATGTACAGTAATATTTGATAGTGATATTATTTCAGTTATTGGGTAAGCCTTAATGTTTACTTACAATACCGGAGACAACATCAAAGAAACCTGGATTATTCTTCTTTCTCAAAGTTTGAATAAATCTGGTTTGACTCTGAACAGAATTAAACTTGAATGAGGCAGAAATGAGTGGAGCACTCTTCTTTGACAATACAGCACGAGAGGCAGATGAAGCAACTAACTTGTTCATTGTAATATAATTTCAGAATTGGGTTGTTGTGAGGAATTTGTTGTGGTTGTTTTTTCTTGTTGGGAAATTCTTCATTCAATCGCTCAATCTTATTCTCCCAGCAACAACATCACCAACACACCTTCTTCTTTGTAATCACAACAATGAAATAAGTGTCGGTTGAGGTCAAACTAAAGGCCCGCTCACACAAGATCAAGCAAAAAGAGGGAAAATTGTGAGGCGACACACAGTTTGGGCGGAACGCTTTGATGCGGCCGATCATTGATGAAGAGGCGGTTAAGGTAAACTCATTATTTTCTCTGGAGAGTGTGATGGAGTATTACAATGGAGAATGCTAGAGTGATTCTCCTAATTATTTATTGTTAATGTGGCAAATTAATAAAAAAGCAAAGAGGAGAATGGGTTGAAGTTTGTGAAGATGATGAGAATTTGTTCTCAGTGGTTGTTGTTGGATTGGCCTGCATGTGTATCTATTATTAATGCTATTCTAAAAATCAAAACGTTCGATAGTGAGGGGCATGTAATTAAGGTTTAAAAAACAGTACGTAGGTCAAAGGGTTATGATTTTTGGAGAAAGTTTTAATCCTCATCAGAAGATATATCTCATTAAGCGGTCAACTGTCTCGTTTCCACTTTTATAGTTCAAAACAGGTGAGAGATTACAATCACAAAAAATGTCTCAAGAAGAACAACTTGCAATTCATCAATACAATCAGGGTTTTACCTATCTGTACGGTTCTTCCGATACTGAACAAAACTATTTCATGGCCTTTGATTTGCTCTCTCAATCTGCCTCACAAAATTACGTACCAGCCATGATGGCTCTCGGAAATATGTATCGTGATGGTTGTCCTGGATTTCTAGAATCTAATGATGAAAAAGCCTTTGAATGGTATGAAAAATCAGCAGATTTAGGAGAACATTATGGACAATTGTTTGTTGGTGATGCTTATTCATTTGGAAAGGGAATAAGAGTTGATAAGAGTAAGGCTGTTGAGTATTATAGCAAATCAGCTTTGCAGAATAATCAATTTGCTCAATACACCCTCGGAATGATCTATAAGGAGGGTAATGGAGTTAGGATTGATCTCTCTGCTTCTCTTCATTGGTTACAGAAAGCATCAGAACAGGGTAATGAAGAAGCAACAAGAGAATTCAATGAGTTGAGTAAATTAATTCCAAAAGCTTGTCCAGCTCCTCCAACCACTACTTTGGATTTATGTATTGGGGAAGGTGGTGCTCAAGTTTCGATTGCTGATCATGAAGAATAATGAAAAATCAAAATGTAACTTTAATCTTCAATTTTGTAAAAATTTAAATACAAAAAAAAATGATTCCAATGTTCAGAACACCACCTCCTCATCATCCACTGCACCATCATGCAACAACACATTTATCATCAGGATCTCATGGAATGATACAAAATATTCCTTCATCGGCAAGTCCAATGATTTTCCCTCCTCCACCTCCGATTCATCATTCACTCCCAAATATTTCATGTGATGGAAATGATCGTGAGAGTAGGGAGAATAATGGTACATTCCTTGTAACTTTATCGGATTTTAGTGTAGAGTTGAATAATAGTAATAGTCAAACACTTTCATCTCTCCGAATGAATTTTGCTAATTTTAAACAATTCATCATTTCATCTTTTAATAGGAAGAATGACAAGTATGAATTTATAACATTTAATCAACAATTTTACTACCAAACAGGAATGTTAAATTTATTGGAAAAAAGAGTTTTTGTTATACAATGTTTTGATTTGAATAATTTACCAATAGGAGATGTTGTAAAAATTGATTTATATTCTATTTGTACAGGTCCTTTTAAAAACGAACATTTTATCAAATCGGGAAGCTCTGTAATTGGTAAAATTAGCTTTAATTGTCAAATGAAACAATTTAGTGATATTGAAATTAATTTGAAGAATATTAATATAATCCTACCAAATCAAGTAAACCAACAGTATCATTTAGTTTATGGATTAAGAAATGAAAAAAATTTAACAAAGAATAGAGATTTAAATACCACCTATCCGGATCAAACATTTAACATTGTACCTAAAATACCTCAACCATTCCAAACATTTGATACATTCCTGAATTGGTACAATTTGACCACAATTTATCTACCAAAAACAACCTTGACAGAATTAATGGATCAAAATCTCATACTTAAATTAATTAACAAACAATCAACTACCGTCAAGGAAATCAAAATACCATTTCAATCTATTATCAAACCTTCCATTTTAAATAATTCCATGTATTCCTTCTCATACAGTGAAGGACCATTTTCAATCTCAATGAATGGTGTTATTGAGATTAATAATATTCCTCTCTTCTCTCAAATTACAAGCAACGATAGTAAGCTCATGAATAACGTCATTGTAAATGGATCCATCTTCTATCCTGGCGTCAGAATTCCAAGAAAGAGATTAATCAAAATTGATTTGCTTGCTTCCTCTCAAGAGGAAATAATATCACAAGTTTGCAAAGACATAGAGGAAACCCAACCTTCCATTTCCCAACAAATCTTGCCTACATTGGAGTGTAACTTTAAAGAAATGATTTGTGAAGATTTCACCCTTGTTCACATGCTACCAATTGAAAAACCTCTATTTGCCAAATGCTCAGTTCCAATCGATAGAACTCCCTTCAAATATTTTGAAGTTGTTTTGCAAGACGAAGGGGAAACTGGCAAATGTTCCGTTGGTATTTCACTTTTGAACGAATGGATGAATGTACAATTCATTTCCTACTCGTCATTTGATGGATGTCTCGTAAAGAATTGTAATAAGAGAATTTTTGGACCAAAATTTAATGGTGGAGATGTTATTGGTTGTGGAGTTTTGAACGAGAATAGTATATTCTTTACCAAGAATGGAGAATTTATAGGATTCACTCCTTACCGTTTGGATAATCTCTCAACAGTTTACTTTTCTGTTAGCACTGCTTCCAAGTTTATGAAAGTTTCAGCTAATTTTGGAAGAGAACCTTTTGCTTTCAATATTCACAATGCTGAAATATCATACTTTAATAACATATTCAGCCAATTAAGCACAGAGCCAAGTAACATTCGAGTTGGTGTGGATTACTTTGATAGAGTTTTCATTAAGAATAATGACAAACAAGTCTTCTCTGATAATCCTATGAATCTTTTAGGAGACAATAACTCTTCTGATAATAATACTGCACACTTGATGGAAATGAATGAAAAGATTATTAACACCCTTGCTAATCCTATCAAGATTACATACAAAAATCCTCAAACAAAGAAGGAACAAAAGGCTGTCAAGTGGTCTGGAATCAAGTCAAACAAATTACTGTCTGCACTTTTGAATATTCCAAAATCTGCCTTCTCTCCAAATGAATTTGTTAACATTTCAAACTATGGCCAATATGTGATTGATTGTAACCTAAAACCAGATAACTTTGATGAAACGATTCATTTCAATATTACCCCAACACTTGTGGTTATTAGAGGGTTGGAAGCTCTCGACCTTAAAGAAGGAACCAAATTCCTAGATGTTGGAAGTGGATGTGGATTTGTTACATGCTTGGCCTCCTACTTGGTTGGAGAAAAAGGTATTGTTACTGGTACCGATATTGACGAACACATAATTGACTTTTCAAGATCCAAACTCTACGAATTTGTAAAAAGCAAGTATGGTTGTAACTATTTGAATCAAATGGCTATGATAGAATATGTCAAGAAGAATTTATTTGTGCCAAGATTTAGTAATATTCCAATTCTTAAACGTGATGACTATGAATCTATTTTCTGTGGTATAGAAATAACTATGGATATGTTACAATATTTTGAACCATTCATTTCAGAGAATGCAAAGGTAGTTGCCAGTCTCCCAGATCGTTGTCTCTATCTTTTCGAGTATGAAAAACAAAAGTGGAATAAGAGAAAGATTTTGTCCAATGTTACATTACCAAAAGTTAAGCTTCCATCCAGTGAAGAAATTTACTTTGAGAATAGAGAACGAATTAGAGAGTATCTCAACGAAAAGTACTTCTTCTCTCAAAAAGATATCAATCTTGCCATGGATTTGATTGGAATTGAACATCCAAATGTCGAAATCAAACTTTGCCAATTTTTAATGCTCTACACTGACATTTCTATTCGTAATTCCAATATTTCAATTGACCAAATATTGTATGCTCTATCTATTTTTGAGAGTAATGAAATTTTCCCAACCAGCTCTCACTTTTATCTTTGTCATGGAAATAACTTGAGTAATTATTTCCAATTACCAATCAAATTGATAGAAGCTTGCCTCGTTACATTTAATTGTAACATGATACAAATCAATTCAATTCTGGATCAAATTGCAAAATCAAAACCTCCTACTATTTTGAATGAAGATGAGGAGGAGGAAATTTATAGAAACTTGTTAAGAAAGTTCTCTAATTAGTTACATTTAAAACATTCGTTACATCAACTATGATTGGGTGACAACAATCTTAACTTATAAAAGACGAATTCACTGAAAATGTAACATGTTCATTTGTTTTGATTTTTGAAGAGTTTACCAAATTTATTAAAAGTCATATATTTGTTCTTGTTCGGCCTTAATTCTATCATATTCTTCATATTCTAGTTCAGTCATGGCACTTTCATGCTCAGGAGTGATCTGAGAATATGGTACAGGTACACCAGCAACAAAAATCATTGGCTCATTATTATTACCATCCATTCCATTATCTTGTTCGAAATTGGTAACACTTTCAAATTCATTTGTATCAGTGATCATGTTATCCATCACACCTTCATCAATTGCTTCAAATTCGTCAACCATTTTTTCTGATTTGGCATTTTCAGCAGCTTCTCTTTCCAATAATTCATGATAAACAGAGGTGTCGATTTCTCTATCCTTTGATGAAATAATGTGGTCATCGTCATCCTCAACATCATTTGCTTGATTGTAATCATTGTATTCACGTGAAGAAACTGTTTGTTTCAAGAAGAATGGATTATCAGGTTTCTTTTGAACTGGATTGTTTTGAATATGAGCATCACTGTCATCATCAATAATTCCACGTTCTTCCACAAAGTCAATCTTGATATTTGCCGATGGATCCAAACTAATGTAACTACTTGAAGATAAGGCAGAGGCCTTGGCAACGTGTGCAGTAGCACCCAAGTTATTGGACTGAGTATTTCTTGATATTGTGGAAACTGGACGATGTGATCCCATAGATTTCTCTCTCTCGATGGCCTTACGTTGTTCTTCAATCTTTCTATCAGCCTCTTCCTTTGTGACAATATGTTTGTAATTCCATCTGTATTCCTTTGGTACAACATAGGCTTTACATTCATTCAATTTTTCAATAATAAGTTGTAATTGATTATTATATCTTACTTCCAATGAATCACTTCCAGATATTGTTTCTTCATGTTTTTCCAATGATTCACGTGATTCGTCAACTTGACCTCCACAAGTTTGACATATAAGAGTTCCTGTTGCAAAATCTAATAATCTAGTAACATCATAAGCTTCATATTCCTCGTCACAAACTGTACAAGTATAGGTTGGATCTGCTTGAACTTTCTTTTTCACTTCCAAAGATAATAAATACATCTTGTATCGAATAGCATTGATACATTGTTCATAATCCACTCTCCAATAAGTCTCGGATCGTGATGGGTACTTTTTCTGTCCCTTTTTCCGTTCCGTAGCCCTCTCTTCCTTTGTCAATAATAAATCAGAATACAATTCTAACAGGGCCTTCTTAACAACACTTGGTTGCAAATTAACTTTTTTAGCCAATTCGGATTCCTTCACTTCATCTAACTGACTTGTTTGATAGTGCAATAGAGCATCCATCACCACAGCATGGACCGGATCATAAAATGCTCTCATCACTGTACGTAACAAGACGTAGACTGTTTGTGTTTTGTGATGATGATATAAACTCATTTTTTTTTAAATTTTATTTTCTTGCAAAGAATTTGTATTTTTAGAAACTTTTAATTTTTCATTAAAATTGTAATAAATTGAAAATTGAGTATTGAAATTGAAATTATTTATTGATCCAAAGGTGGAGCAGATGAATATTGAACAACATTAGGATCAAAATATTGTGCTGATGATGAAGTGGTAGTGGAAGGATTTTGAGGAGGTGGTAGAACAACTTGAGTGAAATTTTGTGGTGTTTGGGAAAATGATTTTGATTGTTCGAGAGCCATATTGACAACATTTCTTCTTTCATTTTCCAAAGTACTAGTCAGTGACAATACAATTTGATCTGTTTGGGCCATATCTCTTTCAATTTGAGGAAGACAACTGGTTTGAATCCAATTTAAGGTGTTTGCCAAGTGTTGAATTGATTCAGCCATGGCTTCCTTACTCTTTCTAATCTTTTCGTGAACAATATAATCGGAAATGAAATTATCAAAAAACACATCAAAAACAAAATCACCTTGTGTTACCTTGGCAACAAAAAGTGGTTGTGTTGAAAGAGGTGGACACAATCTCACAGCCTCAGCAATGAACATTTTAGCTCTCTTGGCGTCATCGTTGGCACGATTGAGATTTTCATACTTCATTGAATCAACGTACATGTTTGCATAACCTCCTCTCATGAACAAATCGGCAGTGGCTAAATTCTTGGCCTCTGATAATCTCTCATAGCAAGTTTGTAAAAGTGAGTATGCTTGTTGTAAATTCATCAATCCATTACGGTATTGTGCCAAGTATTGCATAATTTGATTCTTTTTAGATTGTTGAACATTTAAATTTTGATGGGTTACTGGAATAATGTGAGTAAGTGGCAGTTGAGCGGCACCAATAATTTGATCAGTTACTTGGTTCAGTTCAATTTTTTTGGATTCGAATAATTGGACCTTTTGTAAAAGGGACGATTGAGCACTTTGAGCTTGCAATAATTGATTTTGAATGTTTTGAAGTTGAGCTCTAGCTTGATTTTCCCTATCAAGTGCAATCTTGTATTCAGAATTTTCCTTTTCCACTTTCTTTTCATGACCATGTTTATCCAACGTCTTGGCAATCAAGTTTGTAAAACTAGATTTCTGTAACTTTTCCAATTGAGTTTTTTCTTTTTTTACATCATTTGTCAAATTATTGAGCGCTTGTTGTTGACCATTAACTTGTTGTTGTAGTGTATTAACAATGTTTGTTTGATTATTATATTGTGGCACAAATACCGATAATTGACTGAGAGTCTCTTGAAGCATACGATAGTGATCCAAGAATTGTTGTGGAATAGGAGGTAGATTTGCGATTGTAGAAGGAATAATTGGCTGATTTGTAGGAAGTGGTGAATAGAACGAAGGTTGTTGTATTTGTGGAGTTGGTGTTATTGTTGACATGTACATTTGCGGAGTGGAAGAAGAAGAAGTGAATGCTGATAATGTTACAGGTTGTTGATTAGTTGTTGTTGTTGTTGGTGTTGGTGTCATCATCATATGATGGTGGTGCTGTGGAGTAGCACCAATCAACGGCACTGTTGAAGTTGGATGGGGAGTAGTGTTGTTGTGGTTGTTGTTGTTAGAGGAAGGCTGTGGTGGAAACATTTTTTTTTCTATTAAGAAGTGATGATGATGAATTTAGCTGAGGCAAAAGTAAAAATAGAGAAAATGGAGGGGAAATGGAAGAAAAGAGATCTCCTAAATTCCAATCCATTGGAGTGGGAGGAATTAAGGTGTGTTACTAGGGAAGTTTGAGATTCTATTTATCAATTTTCAATATATCAGTATTATTGTAATAATTTTCAATATTGTGCATGTTCAATGTAATGGAATTCTATTTGTGTGTTTCAAATATAAATTTTAAAAAAATACAAAAAAAAATGCCTCCAAAGCTTTACATTCCAAAACCTACACCTCCTCCTCAGAAAGAGGTTGTTGAAGAAGATTCGGATCGTATGGAAGATGATGGAGAAGAATTTGATGATCATGAGCAGCAGCAACATCATCAAGAATCGGAAGTGTATACAGATGAGGAGGAAAATTATTATGATGAATTATTTGATAAATCACGTCGTCATGGTGGGAGAATGATGGATGACGATGAAGAGGATGAACCAAATTTTGCATCAAGTACACAATCAAGCTTGTCAACTTTTAAACCAATTTCTTTTATCACGAAAAAGGATAATCAAAGCGTTACAGTAATGAGTGACGAAAAGGATGAGGAGGAAATTATTATAGAGGATGAACAATTAATTGATCAAACTATGGGAATGACTCCTGAACAACCTAAAGTGGAACAACCAAAATTTGTAATTTTACAAGCCAAAAAGAAAGTACAACAGGAAACTGTAGAAAAGGAAATTGAATCAACAAAAGTCAAGGAAAAACCAACAGTTAAAAAGGATGAGGATTTTGGTTCATTCATTGGAGGAAAAGTTGGTTCAAATGTATTGAGAATGATGTATAAAATGGGTTGGAAAGAGGATAAAGGATTGGGTCCTACGAATAGCGGTATTATCAATCCTATCAAGGTTGTACAAACATCTAGGAATCAAGCTGTCATCATTAGCGATGAACATGTTCAAAAAACAAATGTAAAGGAAGAGGAATCTGAAAAGCAAAATGAAGAAACAATAGATGATAGGCCAAGAAGAAATGAGTGGAAAAAGAAGAAAAAGAAGAATCAAAAACCCAAGTTTAAATCCATCGAACAACTTCTCAAAGAAACACCTGTAACATCTCAAGCCAACAAGTCAATGGAAATAATTGACATGACTGGTCCAACAGCTAGGGTAGTGTCTAAATTATCTGACATACAGAAAGAAAAGGTATCCAATACCATTCCAGAACTTCAATACAATGTAAAGGAAATCATAAGACAAACCGAATCGTCAATCAGGGATGTTCATGAAAAAATTCAAAGAGAAAAGGAGAATTTTGATAGATTGGATAAACAGAGGCAACAATATGAAGAGAAAGCAAAGATGGAGAAGAAGAAAATTGATGAATTTCAAAAGGTCTTTTCAATTCTTTCGGCTTGCAACCAAAAATTCCATGAATCTAAAATTTCACTCTCAGGAATTCTTCAGGTTTTCACACAACTCAAACAATTGCACAGTGAAATTTTCGAAGAGTTTAACTTTTCAAATTATGGACTCTCTCTCATTAGACCAATTCTTTCAGAGATTTTCAAAGAGTGGAATCCTCTAAGTATGCAAGATCCTGAAAAATATGTAAATATCCTTCTTCCATGGAGAAATATTTTGAAAAAGAAAAGACAAGGACTAACAAATGAGGAAGATTATGAAAAGCTACTCCAAGACTTGTTAATACCATCCATAAGGAAATCCTTTTCAAAATGGAATCCTATTGATGAGTGCGATAAGGGATTAAACTTTTTTGAAACATTTGCTGACAAAGTTTGTACAGAAGCTATGAAAATATACCTAACAGAGAGATTACTGATACCTCGACTAAAGTCATGCGTGCAAGGTGAATGGAACCCTAAAACAGATAACATTCCCGTTCACTCATGGATTCAACCTTGGTTTATTTACATACCAATCAAACAATTCGAAACGTATGGTATATTTAATTTGATTAAGAACAAGTTAGATACACAATTATTAAGAAATTGGAATAATATTGATGATCAATCAGCCTACCAGGCATTGGAACCTTGGAAAGATGTTTTCAATGACTATTACAAATTCCTAGTCAAAACTATTACTCCAACAATAGTGGAAGCTGTAAAGAAAATATCTGTAATTGTCACGACAGACTCTATTTCAACAGAAACTAGGGAACATTTATCAAATATCATTCATTGGAATAATCTGATACCAGAGTTTATAGTTGCAATATTTGAATCACAATTCTTCAATAGATGGTGGAAAGTCTTGTATTCGTGGCTTTGTGATCCTGACTGTATTCCAACCCAAGTTGACAAGTGGTACCAGAGATGGAAAGATGAATTTGATAGATATTTTGAAGAGGATCAAATCATTCAATTATGTTTCAAGAGAGGATTGGATATGATCTATCAGTCCATGTCAAATACTCCAATTACTCCAGCTCAAAAGTTACCTCTTCCATCGATTGAAATTGAAAACAAACAAGCAGCTTCCAATTTGAAGCAAAAGACTACCACTCCTTCAGCCACTAAGAAACCAACATCAAAAACATTCAAAGAACTCATCTCTGATTTTGCAGAAGAACACGATCTTCCTTTCCAAATCAAAGTTGGTCAATATTTGGATGGCAAACAACTCTATAATTTTGGTGGAATTTCGACCTATATTGAAAATGAATGTCTGCACGCCAAAATCAATAATGTTTGGAAACCTGTAACTCTCAATGAGTTTTTGTCTCTAATAAAGTAATTTATTCCTCTTGTTTCACCAAATCAAGTTCCCTGAGATGTTAAACTTTTCCAATTCCTCAATTCTTTTATTCTCAATACATGATTCAGTGTATGGAAGGAAATGAATGGAGATGATTGGACTATGGGTTGTACATCGATTTCAATTAAATTATCTTTTCACAGTTTAAAATCAACTTTTTCTATTTTTTTTAAAGCTTTACAAAATTGGTTTATTTCAAGAAATAATCTTCTTAATCGACATCTTCCATCAAGGATTCAGCAGCTGGTTCTTCAGCAACTTCTTCCTTCTTGACTTCAGCATCAGTGACGATTTCATCTTCATCAATGCTCAAACCAAGCTTGATCATTCTGTGGATTCTACCAGCAAAGGTTGATGGTTCTTCCAATGAGAAACCAGAAGTCAACAATGAAATGTCGAACAACAACCAGACCAAATCTCTCAAAGTCTTGTCAGCCTTGTTAGCTTCAGCCTTCTTTCTCAATTCATTGACAATTGAGTTTTCTGGGTTAATTTCCATAGTCTTCTTGGAAACCATGTAAGCAGCCATTGAGTTATCCTTCAAAGCTTGAGCCTTCATGATACGTTCCATGTTTGATGACCAACCATATTCACCAGTAACCAAACAACATGGAGAATCACCAAGTCTGTCAGAAACGACAACCTTTTCAACCTTATCACCCAAAATGTCCTTCATCAACTTGCACAAAGCTTCGAATGAGGCCTTCAATTCTTCCTTCTTCTTCTTTTCTTCTTCAGTTTCTGGCAACTTTAAACCTTCCTTGGTAACACAAACCAACTTTTTACCATCGAATTCCTTCAATTGTTGGACCATGTATTCATCAATTGGGTCAGTCAAGTACAAGACTTCAATACCCTTCTTGGCACACTTTTCAATGAATGGAGAGTTGGCAACAGCCTTCTTGCTTTCACCAGTAATGTAGTAAATGTCTTCTTGACCTTCCTTCATACGTTCAACATATTCCTTGAATGAAGTCCAATCTTCACCACTAGTGGATGAGGAGAATCTCAACAATTCAGCCAACTTTTGTCTGTTTTGAGAATCTTCGTGAATACCCAACTTTAAGTTCTTTCCAAAGGCTTCATAGAATGACTTCCAATCTTCCTTATTTTCAGAAATTTCAGAGAACATTTCAATACACTTCTTGACCAAATTCTTTCTAATAACCTTCATGATCTTGTTTTGTTGCAAATGTTCTCTGGAAATGTTCAATGGCAAATCTTCAGAATCAACAATACCCTTGATAAAGTTCAAGTATTCTGGAATTAATTCTTCACAATTGTCCATGATAAAGACTCTTCTAACGTATAATTTGATATTGTTAAGCTTCTTCTTTGGTTCGAACAAATCGAATGGAGCTCTCTTTGGAGCAAAGAGGATAGCCTTGAATTCAAAGTTACCTTCAACAGAGAAGTGCTTGACAGCCAAATGTTCTTCCCAGTCATTGGTCAAGGCCTTGTAGAATGAAGCATATTCTTCCTTGGTGACAGTCTTGGCGTCACGAGTCCACAATGGCTTGGTCTTGTTCAACAATTCCCATTCGTGAGTAACTTCCTTAACCTTCTTGGTCTTTTTTTCCTTATCTTCATCAACTTCTTCAATCTTTGGTTCGTCAGTCTTTTCTTCGTCCTTCTTTTCTTCATCTTCTTCAACTTCCTTTTCTTCAGTCTTTTCAACATACAAAGAAATTGGATATCCGATGAATTCAGAGTGTTTCTTGACCAAATCCTTCAACTTTCTTTCTTCCAAATATTCCAATTGATCTTCCTTCATGTGCAAAACAATCTTAGTACCACGAGTCAATCTTTCGCCAGTTTCATCCAAAGTAATGGTAAAGCTACCACCAGCAGCAGATTCCCAGATGTATTGTTCGTCATCATTATGTTTAGTGGTGACAACAACTCTATCGGCAACCAAGTAAGCAGAGTAGAAACCAACACCGAATTGACCAATCAAGGAAACATCAGCACCAGCTTGGAGCATTTCCATAAATTGCTTTGTTCCAGATCTAGCAATAGTACCTGTAATAATAATTTGTTAATAAATTTCAGAAATAATGTAAAATACACGTTATATAATAATAATTTGTTAAGAAATCAAGAAATAATGTAAAAACACCAACCTAAACAATTAATTAAATCGGCCTTAGTCATCGCAACTCCTGTATCAATGAGGGTTAAAGTCTTGTTAACCTTATCAGGGATGATACGAATACACAATTCCCTTTCAGTGTCCAAGACTGATGGTTCAGTCAAACTGATGTGACGAAGCTTATCCAAAGCATCAGAAGCATTGGATATCAATTCTCTCAAGAAGATTTCCTTATTGCTGTAGAAGGTATTGATGATCAAACTCATCAATTGATTAATCTCAGCTTGGAACTTGAATGTTTCGGTAGACATCTTGTTGTTGTATAGCGAGGGGTTTCTTGTTATTTTTTTTTTCGCTGTTGTTGTGAAGGCTAGTCTCGGAACGATTTGACTGTGTGTTTTATTTCCTATCGGAAGTTTTTTTGTAAACACGATTGCTCTTCCGTGATGGCTTGCAAGAAGAATACAACAACGCCAAAGGCTTCGATAGATTTAATAAGTTTATTTTTAAAAGATGATCACGTTTGCTTCAATCAACAAATGAACAGCTCGGTATGATGATTTTGTATTCGTTCGTTTGGGTTGTTGTTTATTTCACAATTTAATTATAGTATTTCGAATATAATTATCGATTGATGCACACATCAATAACTTAATTTCTCACCCTTTAATGTTGAGATGATGGAAATTTATAGTATTCATTCGATTGGCTTTATTTCACAACCTTATTATTTCATGAAAACATCAACACTTATTTCTACTCTCTCTGGAAGGATGAAAAATTTACTTTTGGTGAGCAACAAATTCTTCAGCCAAGTGCTTATTGGTCATCTTCTTGACATTCATCTTACGAGTACGTTTAGTCTTGGTATTCTTTGCATTTTCTTCTCTTTCAGCTTCCTTCTTCTTTCTGTGTTCATCTTCTGGCCATTCAACAGTTTGTATAGCGGGAAGACCAACTTTTTGTAGGAGGGATGGTAAATCTGATGCAGGAATACGTCTCTCTCTTGTTCCCCTCCACAAATCTCTCAGTTTAACATCAACTATTGGCATATCTACACTCACATCATTAAAGTACAAAATGTCACACTTCTTATCTTGGTTGGGTATGGAAATGACAGCCTTTTCCTTCTTGAGCTCTTCAATATCATTTAATACACCCTTGTAACTTTCAGCCAATTCAGATACAGGAATTCCACTAATTACAAACTCTGGATTTTGCAATAATTCCAATACGTGTTTTTTTTCCTTGATAGACTGATGGATAGCCTTAAAGCAAAAGGTAGCATTTTCATCGATATTCTTTGTGGTTGGTCCTTGATAATCCACCTTGTGATTTTGCATTAATTTCAGATAGATGGCCTTCTTTATCCGATCGTCAAGATGAGCAGCAAGTGAATCCTCAAATTTAACTCCAGTTTTTTCCTTTTCCTCCTCCTCGTCAACTTCATTGGTACAACTGCTATGATCAATGGCTTCCAAAATTTGTTGAAATGTATACTTTTTAGAAGTGTCTTCCTGCAAAAATTCAATAATTTTAAAAGTAATCAACCCAAGTGTATGTTCCTTCGTGGCCTTTTTTTGTGCCTTTTCTTGTTTAGTCAATGTAGGAGTGGCCTCTGTTGTCTCGGAAGAGGCAGCTACAGGTGTTTGAACAGCGGCACTCTCTGCCTCCTCTTCATAAGTTCCTGCCGAGTAAAATTGGGCATGTTTCGGACCACCAGCTTCATCCTTTGATTTTGATTTTTTCTTCTTCTTCTTTTCCTTCTCCTCTCCACTTTTTGATGATTTTCTCTTCTTTTTTTTCTCGGGTTCCTCTGTTTTTTCCGATGATTGTTTTTGTTGTGCTTCCTTCTTGATTTTCTCTTGTCGGTCCAAAATTTCGAGTTGTTTCTTTTCCAGTGCACTTGACATTTTTTTTTTGATTTTGTATTTTAAAAATAGATAAGCCATTATCTAAAAAGAAGAAGATGAGGTGATAAAAGTGATGATAAACTATGATTGATTAAAGGATAAAGTTCAATTATTATTGGGAACAATCAAATCAGAGCGTAAATTCGTTCAGTTTCTCTTTTACCTGAACGAAAATTTGAATCAAAAGAAAAAGGACCCAAATATTGATCTTCTCCTTTTATTTATCTTTTATTTTGGCTGGAATTGGATGAAGAGGTTATTGATACAAAATTGTTGGAGATCTGGAAATAAACCATCAACTAGTTCAAAGATCTTGTCTTCACTTTTCATTTGTTTCAAATATATTCCTGAATCCATGAAATTTTGTAATGGTATTAAGGATTTAGCTTTTTGTGTCGAACACCTCATCTACACACATTAATAGAAAAAAGGTACTAAAATCAAACAAATGGGCGACCATTCTTTTCTTTATTGAATATCAAATGTTCCATCTTTTACCGAGCCTTTTTGGTTGTAAAAAATCTTCTAGATTGCTTTTATATCCTTCTTTCCACTGTAAACAGTTATTTAGTATTATCTTTAATTAATAATTGAATTTGTTCATATTTTTCAAGGCTTAACTGAATATTTCAAATGTCGTTGAATGGATTTTGGCAAAACATACTGTAGTACAGTGATTCGTTTAGTTTCGTAAAATATTAACACACACGTTTTGTCCATTTTCAACAATTTTTAGGCATCATTCCAAAAAGGCTAGTAGTGTGTAATAATGTCATAAACCGGGATTATTCCGTTTTCACACATTTTCCAACTATTTAAACACAATAACTCAACTTCATTACAACACTTTATCATTTTCTGTCATTTATAATTTAACCCAACATGACAGAGGTCTTTTTCGAAACCCTTTCATAATCTCCACTAAACCTTTCATAATCTTGATGCACTTGCCTCACCACTAAAAAAAATCACAACCAAAGTTTCCTTGCTGGTTTTACGAAGAGACACAATTATAAAAACCGAGAAGTGCATCAAGTGTTTTTCCTTTGCTCCATAAAAATTTGGTGTTGATTCGTTTCTAGAGATTTCTGCACAATTAAAAAACGTACACACATTCATCTCTTCTCTGATAATATTGTTTATTGGAACCAATATTGAAAGCGATTAATTGACCAGCAACATAATTATCGCGCGTTCATGAAAATGGATGTTTCATCATCTTCTTCTTCATCATCATTGAAGAGTAATCATCGTGCTCTTCTTTTAGTGGTATTATTTATATTACTATTCATCATTTGCAATTCAGGTACTACTCTTGCACAATTAGATGTTTGTTCAGTGGCCACAACTTCCATCATTCCCTTCTATAATGTAAACATATCAACAAATGTGTACAATGATTTCTATCTCTTTGGTAACATGTGTCCGTTTGGTTATGTTAGAATGACAGATTCGATTAGTGGAGCTTTCTCTTGTAAGCCATTGGACGAATTCTTGTTAGAAACTGTTGATACGAAGAGTTGTGTAATTCCTTATGGTGATCCTTTCTATGATCCATCCCAACCATGGGCTGATGAAACAAATTGTGTACTGCCTTACTTGGCTTGCTCTCCAACTACTCTCAAGTGTACCTATGTTCAAACAAGAATGATTAATGACACTTGTACTGATCGTATGAATTGTTATGGACATGTCACTAATCCTTTTGTGAATTGTCATGCTGGAAAGTGTAGCTATTTACAGGAAAATCCTGTTCTTCCTGAAGGAAGCACTTGTCCATTCGCTCCAGATTCAGATTTTGAAAGTTTACTTGATAAGGCATTGGTTAATTATACTACCAATAGTTATGATAATTGTGATAGTTCAAGTTATTGCCATCTACCATCTGTCCTAGCTGCAACAAAGAAATGTTTGAGAAGAGTTGATGTTGTCCTGTATGAAAGTTGTGGACTTGCCAACATTGAGGATGAAGAGGGTAATCCTATTACAGTCTACAAGAAATGCCCAGCTGCTTCTACTTGTAATGGTGTTTGTCTGCCAAGTTTCTCATTCCCAGATTATTATAATCCTAATTCTAAACCAATCTTTGGCAAATGTAGTGACGATTTGAATCCTGTCCCAGTTGAATACTCTAATACAATTCTGATCTGTAAGAATTATACCACTAGCAATTGCTCTATTTATACAGATTGTATAGGAGGTCTGGAAAGTAGTGGTATTTCACTAAAGCAAAATCTTGACACTGGAAAGTGGCCTGGAAATCAACCAGTCAGATGTGAAAACTCAAAATGTTTGAGATTATTTGGTAACTATAATGGCGAATCATGTGTAGACAACACTGATTGCTACTCGAGCTATTGTAATACAACCTCAGGCACTTGTACTGATTTACCATCTGAAATTACTTGTGGAGACACTGTCGATTATGACATTTTCCCATGCCCAAAGTATTCATATTGTGCATGTAGTAGTGAACAGAGAAGGGTCTGTATTGATTTCTGTATGAGCAAATTGATGGATTTGTCTATTTGTTCGATGAATTATGGCATGTTGTCCTCAATCTATTATTCACACCCACTCCAACCAGTTCAAAATAAGCCTATTCCTATTATTGACACCAAATCGTCAATCTTCTCCCCACTGAATGGTAAATGCTCAATTCCATTGAATGCTTATCTGAGTTGCATGTATGAAAAGCAAGTTAACAATGGTATCGATGCAAGAGCTCCTTCAACCATCATTAATAACCTTTCTTCACAGAATACCAGACATGTTGCCCAACAGAAAAGAAGTGTTCAAGAAGGAACACAAACCTCTAGAGTTGATGTTAATGTAGGCCTCTATGTTTCTTCCTACAAAAATCTTTTCCAATCCAATACAATTTTAAGAGATTTTTCCAAACTAGTTCCTCTGTATGATCAGACTGGTTCTTTCGATGAATCCACATTTGAAATTGGAAATGTCAACTTGCTCAATACAACCAGTATGAATGAATTTATTAATGACAATTCTGATTTGTACCAAATTGATGGATCGACAAACATTATCAAGATGAGTAATCAAGTGGTTGTGTTTTACTATCATAATTTGGTTGGAATAGTTCCTAAATTTAAAACTTCAAACTTTACCTTCCAACTTTTGAAAACTGCACGTATTTGCACTTGTTGTGATCAGGCTGTCAGAAATCTTACTATTCGAGCATCTAAATCTGTTGTTGGTATTACCCTTAAGGATGGCAATAGAGAATATCAGTATATTGATACCAAAACCTCAACGAGTGACTCTTTGAGTATTACAAATTATGAACCTATTATGGGCCACGACTCATTCCTCAATAGAAACTGGTACAGCTCTTGTGATTTGATTCTTGTAACACCAGAAGAAGTTGACACAATGCTATTGGCAATTAAGAATAATATTTACTTTTTAGATAGGAATGAAACCCTAGATCCAAGGTCTATATCTGAGCTTGATAATATGAAAACATCTGACTATGCACAAATATTCACAACAAATATTCCAACAAAGCTCAAGACAATTCCAAGATCGGTTCGTGTTGCAACTCTCAAGAGTGAGGATACCTTCAACAAGGTCAAGGCTGCTGTTTTTAAAGAAATTTACTCTGTCTTCAATGAGTCCTTCTCCATTGTCAATTTATGGACTAATGGTACCATTAATTGTTCAATTTTTGATACTATATCTGTAAAGGACTATCATAGTTACCTTTTCGAAATTCCACGTATTTCAACCACATTCAGTGAGGGATATAGTAGTTTCCAAGCATCATCTCTATCGCTTCCTCTTACTGAATTTGATCATACAATGTTTAGGCTATTTACAAATGAACACAATAGAAATATTTCAGTTTCCGAGCTGGTTTACCAAGATATTGCTCGTCCAAGCTGCTACAGCTCTTATAATCAATACTTGGGTGTTTTCCACTATAACAATCCAACCAAATACTGGGATCTCACCTATAAGGATGCCATGTTATTCCTTGTCATTATTTTATGTTTGGTTTTCTATATTGGACTTGTTGTAAATTACAGTATCATGATTGATAATAATAAGGCAATGAGAAGAAGATTGTTTGTTCCTTTTATTGCTCCAATGTGCATTATATTCACTTGTCTATTCTTTTTAGAACCAATCTTGATGAGTGTATTCAAGAATGTTGGCATGTCCTTATTTGCGCTGATACCAGTTCCAGACTATTGCATTTCACTGTTGTGTTCGAGCTATATTGTGGTGACTATTAGATTCTTCTTATTGAGAAACTTGTATCAATTGAGAGAGTTCTCTCCAATCAAACGAGAAAACAAATCTCACACAAGTAGAATGAAACTTTACAGAATTGTGTCGAGACCAGAGATTTCCTTCATGGTTTCTGTTACACTGAGCTTGGTTCTTGCAGGAATTTGGTATGGAGTTTACTATGGAATTCTCTATGGTGTTGTTATTCAACGATTCAAAAGATTCGAGTGGTCTTTACAGTTTGATGCATCCCTATTGTCGTTGGCTTCACAGTTTGGCTTTTTGAGTGTTGTGGTAATGCTTGTATTTGTGGTTGACATGATACTGAACATTAGGACAATCAAGGACAAGGGTTTCAGACACTATTTCTTGTTTGATGATCCTTTCTATCTCAGAATTGATATTTTCACGTTGGCAGCAATGTTCGTTACCTGCATTGTACTCATTCTTGATCTGTTCATTTGGAATTCATTGGTTGTTAATAGATTGTGTCTTGTGGCCTTCTTCTTATGTAGCTTGTTACTTGTTGGTGGTAATGTTATGATAGTTGATATTGCAACATACATTAGAAAGCTCAGAGATACTTGTGTTGGTGATAATCAACCATTGGATGATTTTGAGAGATTGGAAGCTCAATGGGAAGAATATTTGACAGATATTAATTTTAGATGGCTTCACCGAAATTATTCCAATAACGAATTCTCAATTGAAAACTTTAATCTCTATGAGGATTTGGAAAAAGTGAGACAAACTGGAACCTTGGACTTGGACTATGTAACTTATTTACATGCTACATATTTTGCACCAACATCACCATACCCAATCAACTTGCCTGCTCGATGCTATACTGATTTTGCCAATGCCATGACAAATTTAACACTCAATCCAGATGGTCTCTTGCCATATTCTGTATTTAAGGAAATTCAATATGAAGTGGTCAAGAATAATCTCGATATTTTCCAAAGACTAATTCTCAAAGATGAATTTGTCAAGTGGCGAGAAACCTTTAAATTCCAAAAGGAAATGAATGTACTTTCGTACACCACCTCTCCAAGTTGTGAATAAACAAATAATAATTGATGATCATCACAAACAAAGGGATGAGGCCTTAATTGACAAGATAACACTCTAGACACAAGCGTATTTGGAACGTTCCATCTTGGATTAACTATGCGGAAAATATTGAGGATTACCTTGTTCTTATTAAGGACATGTTTTACGATTATGCTTACAGCACGCAACATCTTGCCTCTTCAGCAAAGAAAAAAACACACGAATACCATCACATCATGAACAATCAAGCTCGATTGTCGTGTAGCAGTAGTATTCAACGTCGTGGAGGAAGTAGCAAGTCGATGAAAACATCGCTTCTTCTCCTCTTCACAACGTTTGTTGTCATGTGGGCAGCTGGATTAATGTTTTCAGGCTCCCCTAATGAAAATAACATGGTAAACGCACAAAGTCTTTCTTCAATTTTTGGCACTGATGATGGTGATGATTTTTTAACACAATTAATTCTTGGGAGTGCTCTTGATGATGAAGGAATGAGTGTTAATTCTGATGGAACGGCTTGTGTTAATCAAATGGATGAGACAGATATTGATTATTATCAATCCTTAATAGACTCTACATCATTTTACTACTTGAAGTTGGATTCAGCATGTGAAGTAGTTGCTATTCCTGCCAATATCACAACTAATACTACTACTTTAAATGTAACAACAACAACAACATCTAATACTAGTACTACTGGTACTACTACCACTGATAGTTTAAGTACAACCACCATTGATACTACCTCTACCAGTGATTTCAGTTGGATGATTGCAGATGGATATTTGTTCGAAAAGGCAGCAACTACCTTCTGTAATCAAGCTTCTTTGGAGGCTCAACAACAAGAAGACATGTACCTTAAAATGTTATTCTCTTCCTCCTATGAATCTGACTTGTTGAGTTATGTTAATTTGGATGATATTATAAGTGGTTTAGAACCAGAGTATACCCTTATTGATTGTTCTGTTCCAATTGTTAATGTAACTTCAAACGCAACAAACTCTACAAGCTATGCTTCCACTAGCGTTGATGGTATGGTTTCAGCAACAACAGAAACAGCAACAACTCAACAAGATGATGGCTCTTTGGCTTGGTTGATTGAACCATATTTGTTTGGCTCTGATGATGCTACTAGTAGTAGTAGCAGTGGTGGCGATTTTGAGGTGAAAGAGTTTTGTGATCAGGCTTCTTTGGATGATCAACAACTTACTGATTCACTGTTGAGAACTGCTCTAGGAGGCTCTGACTTGGGTTCTTTTACTGAGCTTGTTGACCTTTCTTCAATTTTGAGTGGCATTGGACAAATTCAATATGTTCTCAAAGATTGTACTGTTCCACCAACACCAATTGTCAACAATTCAACCAATACTACCACTCCAATTGTAACATTAGACATTGCCTCCCCACAAGAAGTTGGTGATTCATTTGATTGGTTTATTACTGGTCCATATCTGTTCGACGCTGCCGATGATGCTACGAGTAGTAGTAGCAATGGTGGTGGTTTGGTGAAGGAATTTTGTGATCAAGCTTCTTTGGATGCCCAACAGTTTGCCGACTCACTTTTGAGAATGCAATTGGGTAATTCTGACTATCAAAGCATGTTTACAGAACTTGTTGATATTTCCACAATTACTAGTACAGTAGAACAGATTGAATATGTTCTCAAAGATTGCACTGTTCCAACAATAGTCAGTAATGTTACAAACACCACTCAAATTGCTCCATTAGAAGTTGCTTCACAAGAGGATGATGGTGATTCATTTAATTGGCTTATTACCGGTCCATTCCTTTTTGAGGATGATGGTGATAGTACCGATAGTTTGGTGAAAGAATTTTGTGATCAAGAATCATTGGATAATCAACAAGTCTATGATGCACTTTTGAGAATGCAATTAGGTAATTCTGACTATCAAAGTTTGTTCACTGATCTTGTTGATACTTCCTCAATTAGTGGTATCGAACAAATTCAATATATTCTCAAAGAATGCACAATCAACCAAGGTAACAACACAACCAACTCTACCTCAACAACCAGTGTAGAAGAAACTTTAGACTCACCTCAATTCGATTGGACCATTTCAGGAGTTTATCTTTTTGAGACTCTTTCTGATGACGCTGCTACTGAGCAACAATATGTTTTATGTGACCAAGCAGCCAAAGAAACAAAGGAAGTTGATGATTTATTGTATGGTCTCATGTTGGGTGTTGATGCTAACCAATTGACTACTAGCTTACTCACACAAGATATTTTAACTGGTGAAACATTGTTTGCTGAATATCATGTTCATGATTGTGTGACTGTGCAAAACTCTACCACAACTACCTCTGAGACTATTGATGAGGAGGAGCAATATGATTGGTGGATGTCTGAACCAGAATTATTTTCTACTGAACCAATGCAATTCTGTGATGAACAATCAGTTATTGAACAACAAGCCTCCGATCTCTTGTATAACATGATGTTTTATGGAGCTAATGCACCAGAGCTTCAACCTTCACAGTTCAATCTTCGTGATTTAATACTTGAAAGAGAAGAACCTCAATATACCATCAAGTCATGTGTTACCGAACCAATTGCCCTTCCATCCAACAAGACAATTGAATGGGTTATTGAAAAATTGAATGGTTCTTGTGTTATTGGATCTGAGGTCAAGATTGTTAATTGTCAAATGGTTGACAATGCTACTGTACACCTCTCAAATAATTCATTCTTGAATTATTCTGTCACTTTAATGCCTAATTCATACACTGTTTTAGTGACAGTTCTTCCAGATTCTGGTTACAATAACATTACACAAGTAGTTGTCTCACTTTTCAATACCATGATTGTCACTCAACTTCCGAACATTTATTTGATTACAAGCAGTAATGATAAAATCCTCATTGGATCCCATTCCAATGGTGATTCTCTACTCTCTATTGCACTGGTTGTGAATGGAACAAATTTGAAAGTTTTCTTGAGTTCCAATCTTGTTTACAACACTGACATTTTCGACACCTCAAATGTTGGTAATATCCTAGTGGGAAGAAGTCCTTCATCTCCTATTTATCCATTCAGTGGTGACTTGTTATCATTCTCAGTATTGCCAAGTGCTTCCAATAATTTGAGTGCTATATTTTCTGCTATTGCTAGTCAATATCATCCTTCAATAAGTGATGCTTCAACACAACCAACAGATGTTTTGTGGTCTATTACTAAAGAAGGTAATAATTGTAAGATTGGACAGGCAATTGTTCAAAATTGTACCACCTCATCAAACTCTACCTTGTTGCTTTCTAATGGATCATTTGTTTCTTTGAGCTTGGATGAACCACTCACTGATAGCTTTATTGTTTCAGTTGTTGTAAAGCCTTTATCTTCAAATCCTGTAACTCAAGTTTTGTTGGATATCGGTAATGACCTTAAGGTTGTTGTAAGATTCCCATATGTTATTTTGATTGTTAATGGTGTGGAATATGTAGTATATACTCTTCCTTCTGATCCAAACTCTATTACTCCAATGCCAGTAATTGTTCAATTCACAGATCCTGGTTTATCCGTTCTCGTGAATAATCAAGTGGGATATCAAAACTCTACCATTGCACAAATTCCAAATTCTAACAATATTTTGATTGGAAGATCTGACGATTTACTGCATGCTTATCCATTTATTGGTGAATTGTCATTCTTTGAATTGTTGACAAATAATGTAACAAATCAAACATTGTCAAGCATTATCAACACTGTATCAAGTGTAGTTTCTTCAACAACCAACACTCCAAGCCCAACTGCTACAAACACAACCACTAACACTCCTTCATCAAACGTTACAAATACAGAAATTATTTGGGCAATCACCAAAGATGGTTCTGATTGTAAAATTGGACAAGCAGTGGTAAAGAATTGTGCAACAGCTTCCAATTCTACTTTGTTACTCTCCAATGATTCATTCATTTCCTTGAATTTAAGTGCACCACTCACTGACAGTTTTATCGTTTCAGTTGTGGCAAAGCCTTTATCAACTAGTCCTGTAACCCAAGTTTTATTGGATGTTGGTGATCTCAAAGTCATTCTCAGATATCCTGATGTTATTTTGATTGTTAATGGCGTGGAAACTGTTATTTACACTTATCCAACAACCTCAAATCCAAGAAATCTTGCTGCAACCTCTTTCGTTGTTCAATTCACAGACCCTGGATTGTCATTATTTGTTGATGGAAATTCAAAATATCAAAATCCAGCCATTTCACAAATTCCAAATTCTGATAGTATTCTCATTGGTAGATCTGATGACTTGCTTAATGGTTATCCAT